GTATGTTTTGTAATTGTGTATTAATTCTTTTAATTTGACGTTTTCCAGCAAAAGGCAGAACATACAATCTTTTGATGTAGACATTTCAGGTTGCCTCAGATTGATTTGTTGCAACAAGTAGTGCTATGCAGTTTGATGTTGGTTGATTGTTTTATGGTTAGCCCACAGTAGAGCTGGGCAATTCAGTTTTATTTTTGATTAGTGTAAAAATACTCCACTATAGGTGGCATCCAGTAGGAAAAGAAGAGTAAGAAGAAGAAATTATTGATCCCTGATGGGAAATTCTAGTAGTAGTAGATGGGACTTTTAAAAATATTATCATCCACTTTTGACAGACGGACATGCTTTGGTAAACAAAAAGAGTGAGCCAAACTGTTGTTTGCCATTGTATTCCAAATTTTGAAGACTTTTTAGTTCTAAAGAGGCTTAAATTGCATTAGAGTATATGACCCAGATGTCCGTTTGCTATAATTGTTGTGTACTGTAAATGTCAAAATAATTGTGATAATGACTTTTGCTTTGTTTGAGCAGCCCTATCCTATAGTTTAGTATGCAATAAGGGCCACATAAGAAGAAAAAACACATTTCCTGATGTGTACATACTGTAAAGATGTAAGTCATCATACAAACATAAAAACACGGAGTGGAAAATGTTTCTCCATTCTTTTGTAGCCTGTCTCCTGGGAGAGCATGTCATCCACAAGACGATTTAAAAGGGCTCCTGTGATGATGTAACGATGGGAGAGATTTGCAATGGCATTTGCAAAACCTCTCCTGAGTGGGTTCCATCACGACATGACTGTTTTGTTCCAGTAGTGCAGAGTCTTAATGTCAAAGGTCAGATTTAGTTATAGTAGCCGCAAAAACCAAAATGTCTGGATAGTCTTTCCCAGCTGTCTCAAACTGTTCTCGCCAAAGTAACCATCATCCTCACCGCCACATTAAATAGTAACTCAGTTTGTTTAAAACAGCTCAGTAAGCATTTGCCATCTTCATGTGCTAACATGTTTTTTTGTCAGCGTTGGTGCACACAGTTTTGTGAAATGGGTCACAGGTTTTTGAAACCTGCATAGCAGCTGCTCTTTTCCTCTGCCATGTCAGGTAATGTCATATTATGTCCTATGTGACGCTCACTGACCCTTTTTACTGCCTGCATGTGTACTCCGCCTCAGTGTATCACTGTGTGCTATCATTCATAATGCACAGCAGTGTGTAAAGAGAGTTCCACACGTGGAGTGAAATGTTGACCTATTTCAGTGCTTTCACTTCCATCCTCCAGTCTGGTCTCTTCTCTACATCTTGATTTCCCTCTTTCTGAGACTGTCCTGAAAATGATTCTGCAATACCACACAGGTTTCACTCTCCTACCTGGTTCCTCACTGTGTGTGTGAGCTGAGTTTCATTAATAAAAAGAGATGGGATGATACCTGTCAGGAGACATGACAGCTAGGCTGCAGAGATATGCCTGGTTTTCTCTATGTATGTGTTTGCTGAGGAAAAAGGGTGTGTAAGGGTGTGTCTTTATTCATGTGCAACCATGTAGTGTACCTCCCAGTGCATTCATGCATATTGTGTGTGTGTGAGTGTGTGTGTGCGTGTGCGTGTATGAATGACACCTCATGCCAGCCAATACTGGGGTATTAGCTCCCTAGGGGCAGATTAGCCACGTTGTTGAATAGTGTTGGATTGACATACCACCAGATGGTTTATGTGTAGTGTGTGTGTGTGCTAGTGTGTGTGTGTGTGTGTGTGTGTGTGTGTGTGTGTGTGTGTGTGTGTGTTTTGGGGTAGGTGTTTGCAGGTTTTGGGTGAAATCTGATGACTGCCCTGAGGCCACAAAGCTGTTGTGTCCCCTCTGTTGTGAAATCTGTCTGTTCCTACATCATGCAGTGTGAAGAGAAGACAAAGACTGAAACAAAGACGAGTGTTTCTGGACGGTTTAAATTTTATGTGAAAAAAAAAAGTACTGGCATGATCATCATGATCAGAGCAGCTAAAACAGTGCTATTGAAATTGCTGAGTTGAGTCATGCTGAAAATTGCACATCAGATTAATTCTTTAGCAGTTCAAGGAAAAAGAAGTTGTCGTTTTAATTAATGACTGTTTCTTGATCAATCATCTTTTTTTACTGTGTTCAGGGACGTCTTCTGTCCCATCACTGTGTGCAGGTTGGAAATCAAAAGTAGCAAACTGTTCTAGTATTGAGACAACACTATGGCACAGTCCCTAATGAGTAAGCCTCAGACATATGGAGACATCACTTTGAAAAACATCATTACACACTCTGAAGTAGTGCGAGAAAGTGCACTGGCTGTTGTGAATTGAGTCAATGTTATAATATCACAGACTGCTGGTTTAATAATGCTGATTTAATAATAATGTAAGTGGAAGTGTTTCAGATGTTGTCCATTTTTCTATTTTATTACTATTGTTCCACTTCAGCAAAAACAGAAATAATTATATTTTGAATGCTGAAAATTACCTAATTGTCCTGATCGCCACATCTGGCTCCATTAAGATTGTAATAAAACATGGCAATTGAAGAGATGGCGCTCTTTGGTGTCTGGATTGGTATGTTGAAGTCAAACAATGGTGGGCACCATTTAAGAAACACTTACTCAACTTAACTTTTGATAAACCTTATCACAGTCAAAGAGGTGGAGCTGAGATGGACTATTGGCTACCAAACAGCACTCACACACCCACCAGTCTAGTAAAGTAGCCATGTAGATCCATGCACACACATCATGATGCATCATGGATAAGATAGAGCCATTTGTATGTATATGAATTGACAAATTTTGTTTTCATTGTGCCAGGCTGGTTTCATACTATTTTTTTCCCCCAATACTGTTCCAGAGGTGTCCTGAAAAACTATTGTAACAGTCTTGAAGTGATAGTCAACTATCCCAAACTCAAAGAACATTACTATAACAAAATGGTGCTATAACATACAGTACAATTACTATGCTATAATATATTGCCATAGTGTCCTCCTCAGCTTCTTGTTGGTGTTATGTCACCCTCAACACTCCATGTTCTCCATAAGATTTGAAATAGTAACCTTATGGTTGACATTTCCCCCACACACCTGATTTCTCCTGTACCCTGTTGTCACTGCTCTGAGCTGTGCTGTGATTCGAAGCAGAGTGGACGATTGATCCTGGTGGGGGATGGCAGCAAAGCACAGCACGGAGGGGACGGGGATTAAGAGTGGGCAGGTGGTCTTGGTGTGGTTGCCAGTACACAGGACGAGCTGTCATGTGGAGGTGTTGGGAAGTTAATTAGAAATTATTAGCTTGCTGGGTGGCTGTTGAATGAAGTGCCAGGAAAATGGGGAAATGTGGAGAATAAGGTAGAAGCCATGTCCATGAGTCAACCTCAAGTTTTGATAGAGGTTTATACCGAATTCTGTCTTCGTTCACTGAAGCCAAAAGTGTCAATCGGTAAAAAAAAAAGAAAGTTTAAGATAGCTGTAGGTAAGACAGTGCCAACTTTAAGCTGCCTTTCTTTCTGCAGATTCCTCTTTGTTTTTGACACTGTCCATGGCTTGTTGAGCTCGTCTTTCTACTGCGGGAGCAAGATGAGATCAGTCAAAAATCTAAATCTGAATCTGTGACTTCATCCAAAGCTTTGTACCCAAAACCAGACTTGTTACTTGTTGAACAATGAGTGTCTTTATTTGATGGTCCCATTACAGGCAGTTCTATAGGAGTTGTTTGAGTGCCAAGTCCGCTCCTTTAGGTCAGTTTTATACATTTTTATTGTTTGTCACCATTTACTGGTACAAAAGTTACAGCATCACAGTATCCCTATGGTCACTAAAGGCACTATTTAAAACCTGTGAACTGCACAAGGCAGAGAGAATCAGACCAACCTGACTGTGAAGAAGCTTGGTGAAATTTGGACCCCGCTGGGCCAGCTTTATGGAGGTCTAGCGACGATGGCGTCCTTGTCTTGAGCTCCAAACAGACAACAACGGTATCTCTGACTTGACTGTACCACTGACTTAAGACTGTAAGCCAGGTCTTTGATGGTCTGAGGTACAGATACAGATTGCAAGGTACACCTCATATCATACACATCTGCAGGGGCAAACCTGGTGGTGTCAAGTGTAAAATAACAATGATACTTGCTCTGTGTTGTTAACTGGTGGCTCTGCTGTGTGACAGAATAGTACAACAGAGCCATACAGTGTTTCTACAGTGTAAGCATCAGATGTGAAAGCCCTTCATGTCAGATCCTTTGAGTCTCAGCACAGAAAAGGAGGTGAACACTTTACACAACGCGCTGTCAGGACTAACCTTGGGTTTTGAAGTTGCATCCCCGTGTTTCACCTCTGTATGTCGATAGTGTGTTTTGGATGCATAAGAATGTGTTAAAGATTGCCTATACTTTGATTAGCTTTTATAAAGTGCTATTCGCTTTGGCAATTAATTGGACACACGTAAGACACGAGCTAATCTAGTTTTTGATTTTGTAGTAATGAGAGCTGTGAGCCAAAATCTGTCCACTTCTTTAGAGCCTTGAACTCCCAGTCAGAATATGACTGAAATGTTTCAAAGACATCTGCTTGATAAAGTGAACACAATTCTCCATCATCTTTACTTGGCAGACGATTGAAAGCCTTTTTTATTTTTCTGTGAAGCAGCTTTTGATTGCAGCTTGATCCCACTTTAAGACTCGGTGCCACAGAGCTTCTCCTCGGCTTTGTTTCTCAGCTGCTCTCTCTGGGGAGCCACACAGGGACTCAGCTGTGAATGTAGGCCAGAGTCGACACACACTTTCTCGTGCCAGGAAACATACACAGCTACACACTCACCCATGCACACAAACAGTTTTTCTTTCAATGTACTGTAAGGTCTGCCACGCTGTCCTCACCCTAACCATCTGTCTGTGTCTCTGGGTCTGCGCTCACAGGTCTCCGACGCGGCTGTCAAAGAAACATCTAGCCAATCAGGAGAGGTGCGGGTCAAGACCGGCCAATCGGAGGGGGAGAAATGTTGGGGCAGGGCGGGCATACAGCCCTGGCTCTCGTGTCATTACTGCTGCTACTGTGGCGTGAAGCAGCTCCAATCGAAGTCCCACAAGATCGTAAGTCACTCGGAAATGATCAGATTCACTTTAACTCTGCATGACGCAAAAAAATAAAAAATAAAAAGTGATTTGAATTCCACAGAAAAAAGTGCAAGACTCAAATTTGATTAAAGGGAGGTTGGCTTTGCGATGGTGCACATATGTTTGCAAATCAAGGTGATGCAAAGCACGACTGAGTGTTATGAAAATAGCTCTTTAGACAGAGAAGGACAGCAGTGCTAGAGTATTGAAGTAATGCTCTGATTCTTCCAACTATCTCTTGCTCGTCTCTCAGACACATTCCTTCAACAGATATTTCTGACTCAAAAGTAGAGACCCGTCTCCAGTTGGCTTCATCAGTTTGATTGTTGCATGAACCGTTTTAGTAAAGGGCAGATCATTTTGAAGCAAATCTACCCTTTTTCGGTCCATTAGACAATTTTTATCTAGCATTTTGAAGTGACTGTAAAGATTCAGACAGGAGACATAGTATCAAAAGAAATGCACAATAAACAACAGAGGTCCTAAGCTGGATTCAGACACGCCATGCTGTTGCCTGGTAATTTTTTCATATGGAATAATTGCAAACAGAGTCTCTGCTCAGATAGTGCCATGTTATTGGCATTGCGTAGTATGGATGATGGCAGGAGTCAGAGACTGACAAACTTTAATTTTTGACTCTGTGATATTTAAAAGTAAACAAGACCATCAACAACATGACTGATGAGTTTTGTATCATTATCTTTCAGGGAGAGGGGGTAGGTGATAGCTGAGCAGCTGCAGAAAAGGCCCTGTTTTTACAATTTCAATATATGATATTCATGAGAAGATAAATGTGATTGCCAAAAGTCAGACTATGCTGTTGAAGCTCGTGGAGGACAAGAAGGCTTCGTCCACAGAGGACGTTAAAATGGGCGCAAACTAAGAGTCTCTCACAGGAGCTTAAAGATGGATAAGATGCTAACACAACTCTTTCTCCACCAAGGAGACGGTGCCGCAATTGTATCCCTTCTGTCGTCTAAATATGGTTATATTGTTTGCTTAAATAAACAAAAAGGACAACAGTAAAATTTGACAATATTACTTTCTGTCAGTTTTTAAACTGTCAATGGTTTAAACGCAAATGTGTGTAGATGTATATTTTCAGCCTTTAGACAGTAGTCTCATTATTACTGATCTACAGCAAAGCTGGCATGGTAACATAAACCATTTACTCAAAACAATGGATCAACATGAAATTCTACGTTGAGAAAAATCTTCTTCTTAAAACCAGATTATCACCTTTTTAAAAGTCCTGATGCAGTGATTCAAAAAGGAAAAGAGTAAATGCTTGTTTTTTACTCTCCCTTCAACTATAAGGTTTAAGTTCATTCTCAGGCTTCAGATCATTTGTGCATTAATTTTTAAAAATATAAACCACGTGTGTCTGCTGGAGTCGAGGCAGCGATCCCATTAACATTTGATTATCATGAGAATAGACAGACTCATATCCTGAGGTGATAAGGTGTCACTTTGGGTGGCTAAGCCCCTGCAAATTCAAAGATGATAGGGGGTTCATTGATTCCAGCATGCACACACTAATACATAATCTTACTACACTCTGAACACACACATGTACACACAAAACACACACACACAACATCGCAGTCTTATTCTTATACCTGTCTATAAAGAGAGGAGTCTGGATTCAGCTGTTAAAAAGGCTCCTGAGGGAACGGTGAACAAAAGCACCGAGGAGAAAAGGAGAAGTCGTCCTTATTTTATTTCTCCACCATCCATATGACACACACACACACACACACACACACACACACACACACACACACACACACACACACACACACACAAAAACATACGTTATTCATACGTTATTCAAGCACAACCGCACACAGACTCCTTTCTTAGAGCTAAAATGAATGTTTCACATTCATATAATGAAAAATGATTCCATACTGAGAAAGGCCCAAGGACACCTGGATCACACACGCACACACGTACGTGCGCACACACACACACGCACACACACACACACACACACACACACACACATACACACACACATGCACACACACACGCACACACACACACACACAAACACACACAGCTGTCATCTGCTCTGTTTTTTATTCCTCAGCCCTCCTATGGTGCCATCTCTCTCCCTCTTCTGTTTTTTTTATAAGCCTGACCTTTCACCCCTGGACTTATGATGCCCTATTGATCTGATACACACACACACAAACACGCACACGCGCACACACATACACACTATGCCAACACAGACTAATTGTATAACATCCCTTATAACACACTGACCTTTTCTTTTTAATAAATTCAGCACTCTGTGATAAAGTGACAGGCGAGGTTTGATTTATTTCTGACAGATATAATCAGCTTGTCACTTTTAGATAAATTCAGCTCACTTACTTAGTATATTATTATTTGGTTTTCTTATGGAAATTAGAGAATTTGTCAAATTAAAACATGAAGCAGAAAAAAAGACATAGAATATCCTTATTAACATTTAGATCAAATTTTAGATTCTGGAGGGCTGGAGCGAGAAGAACAAGGTTATAAATAAAGCTTCTGGTAACATCTATTTAAAAAAAAAAAAAGATTCTTTCAAATATTAGTGAATACATCTTAATTTTATATTTCATGTTAGATATCCTTATATCAAAACATTTTTATCAGACATACGTTTAAAAATCAGAGGAATTACTTCCATGCAGAAACCCCCCAAAATCACTCCCAGATTATTATTTGTTGGTTGAGGGAAATGGGGACAAACACAAAAAAGAAAATGGCCCAGTGTTGTGTTTGTTGGGGTGTCTTTAGGGGGGGTGGTGTACCAGTTTCAGCCCTATCACCAGAGTCTGTTTGTGCTGTACAGTTAAAACTGTTATTGTGCACTTAATTGAAGTTCCTTGATTACATATTCAACCAATGAAATAAAGTGAAACAGAGTCATTTGTGACTGACAACATAGATCAAAACCTGGTCTACTCCCTTGTCCATTTCAGGAATTTAGAGCAGACGCTGCATTGACATGCTTCTCAAGTTGGGTAGCTGATCTGGCTTTGGTGTGTTCACATGCTTTTAATTTGGAAAAGTCAACAACATCAGCAAACAAGATCCTTTCTGGAGTGAAACCTGTGATTTTGTTTTACAAATATTTGCGATTTTTATCGATTTTACTTTTTCTCTTCAAATAAAACTACAAATGAGAAAAACATGGCTTTTAACACTCGTTTGTTCGAGGTCTGACACCGCATAACCGAACCAAGTCTAAACGACTGACAGAAGTGAGCTTTTTTTGGCAATAAACTGTTCACTCATACTAGCAGCCATGTTTTTATTGTGTGTTTGTCTCTGCAGGAAGCGACCGAGGGCGGAGGGTTAAGGGTCTCGAAAGATAAGAGCCCAGGCAATGGAGAAAGTCAGAGAGAAAATCCATAAATCTTAGATAACCACGAATGCAGACTGATTGATTAAATTGATTTATCGCACAGCCCTACACAGAACATGAGAAAAGGTTTCGCCCCTCATGTTGATAACAAAACTGTTGGCAGCTTCTCTGCTGAGTTTAGAATATCATTCAAACTTTCCATTTACATTTTCCAACTCTTTTTCTGATGTGTTTGACACTACATGAATACAGCAATAAATAAGCCATTTATGATGAAGGTCAAGTGTCACACAGCGATCAGGTAAACAGAAGTTGGTTTTCTCTCCAAGTTTGGTGTCAGCAGGTAACAGAGCTGCCTGGATTTTCATCTTTGCAAGAGTTTTGCTTATTTTCTGAGGTTTAGCAGATTAATTGGTTGTATGAAGCCCAAAATGATGAGAAAGGGCTGTGGCCATGAAATCTCAGATTTTTGTTGTTTCACTAAAGCTCAGTTCATTTGATAATAAACATATTAAATTTCCGACAAAAGTCACCTGTTGTTATGTAGTTGAGATGTCTTTATTCTCAAAGCTGAACAAAAGACTTCAAAAGACAAGATCAACAACTGTAATCAAATATGTCCATGAACAGTTATGGCTTAAAAATAAGGCGAGTATTGAACAGATTTGCAGAGTTGACATGGCATTAGTTTATGTGTAGGTCTAAGATAACAACTAGTCTCTAGCTCCATTTGATTTTGTTGTATCAACATGATTCCTGGTCCATATTTCCTATCCGAATAATCAGAATTAAGTGAAGTAGGTTCATTAGAGATGTATCGTAAAAGTCTCTGGGGTCCTTCTGTCAGACATAGTAATCAGATCTAATCGATAGTGAACTATTTTCAGCTCCTCGTGGCACTTCATCACATTTTCTTATTGAAAGCTGATGCTACATGACATGTTAAATCCCTCATGACTCTTCTTTTGTAGTGTTTTATCAGAGCCAACTGAGGTACCGCAGTATGTTTAAGGTTTAATGAGAATCCCCCTCCCCCAGCTCTCCTTCCTTATGTCTCTTTATCTGCTTCATAGCAAACTGCCCTTCTGACCTCTATTGATGAGGGCTTTCCGCACATCTCACCGAACACACACTCCATCTCTGCATGTTAACATCCAAAGAGCAGATGACGAAAACAGTTTAAATTCAGCTGATAAATCTGTGGGGTTGTGTTGTAGCTGGAAACCAAGAAGCTCTATAAACTGGTTTAAACATGTGCAGATAAAACAGCCTTAACAGTTCACTGCAGCTCTGAGCACCTCATGTCAAGGCTCATCAGTAACTGTCACACAAACACAAGGTCAACCTCCTGACACACTGTAGTTTCATTATTGTGTGTGTGTGTGTGTCCCTTTGTGTGAGAGGAGAGGGGGTTAGATAACATAGATGATCCATATTCCTGCTGAATATCTGCACATACACATATTTAATATAGTTACAGTGCAGCATTTGGAAGGAGGGAATAAAAAAGGTCACATATGCTGCATTAAACAACTGGTCCATTGGAATAATAATAATAATGTGACCTATTTTGGTTTAGTAGTCATCCAAAATGATTTTGAAAATGAAGAGCAATACATCTCTCATTTTTGAGTGTCCTCTTGAAGATCTGTCCACAAACAAAGAAAACTCATCAAAGCTAAATCAAAAATGTCATTTTGGTTACACCTATCTCTATAACGCATTATAAATATATTTATAATGTGTTATAATCATGTTATAGCTCTGTATAACTATTGTTTTAAACACTCATAAATGATCATAATGCTTTATAGCAATAATTATAACACATTATAAAGCATTTTATTATGACTTACAAGGTCAGGTATTATAATGTGTTATAACTGTTAACAACAATTGCATTGCATTATCTTTATGGGCATTGTCAGTGAGTTGTTAACAGTTATAACACATTATAATACCTGACCTTGTAAGTCATGATAAAATGATTTATAATGTGTTATGATTATTGCTATAAAGCATTATGATCATTTCTAAGTGTTTATAACTATAGTTATACAGTGCGATAACATGATTATAATTATATTTATAATGTGTTATAGAAATAGGCGTCAAATAAAGTGTTACCGTCATTTTTTTTTTACAAGAGAAAGCCTGGTATGTAAATCTGTCTTCGTCTCAATAGTTCTTTTTTTTAACACCTGAATTGGTGGTGGATTCTTTTATCAATCTTTTATATTGAGTCTAAGAGCTGTGCATAAACACCATTAATTAAAGGCATGGTGAGTGTGGTATTGTAGCTGTTTGCCAGGAGACCGAGGGCCTACCTCAGCTGATTTCTTTGCCTGTTTAATCAAGATTGTTTCAAAGTTATGTTGAGTCAGCATCTCCAGGAAACAATGGATGAGGTCACTGTACTCCATGTTTTCATACAATCCATGATCTTCCAAGAACACTTTCCTCGATTTATCCATTATTTTGTCACATATCAGTTATTAACAGGGGGATGTATTCAGTGTCACAGCCGTCATTGCTCAACCTGAAGTCTGACTTTTGTATTTTTTTTTCTCTTCCTTTGTGCTCATCCTCTGCTGGAATGGAAATCCTTACAGGTAAGGCTTCAGTTATTGTTTCTCTGTTTAGTTTTCATTTGTTTCATCACATATAGAGCACAGCTGTAAGCTGTTATAGTGGTTTTCAACTAACCCACCATCTAGAGTCAAATATACCTTATAATGCTTAACTCAGTTGGAGCTCCAGCTTGTTTGCTTACATCTATACTCAGTCTTGCTGTGAGGAGAAAACACATATTTATTGTACTGCTTCTTCATAATGGCAGCTAAATTATTTAAGTGTAACTGGGGATAAAACTGAATTAAATAGCACGCTCTACAGCAAGAGAGTACGTCAAAGAGACTTGATTCAGGTTTAGTTTAGTGTTTGGTGTAGATAAAAGCAGCAGAGGTTTAGTTTACATCCACAGGCTGCACATATCGGGAGGGGAGAAGCCACCTTTAAACATGACTTTAACTCCAGCTGATGTTTACTTAAACTCCAAGGTGCGTGACGTTATTCTGCTTCTCTCCAGGAAGATTGAAACTGTGTTTCTAAATAAAAGTGCGGTCACTGTGTTTCATTAAAAAGAGTGTATTTTGGGAAAAGCTGAAGCATCTAATAAAACCATGTCATTATGAAACCCTGCAGCTAAGATGCATTAAACTAAATCATGAAATAAAATACAACATAACAGTGTGTGCCCCAGTATAACATAGAACTGTAGATAACATGTTGCTAATATGATTAACAATCCCATAACCACCTCTTTGTGTCCTCTCTGTCCCTCCCTGACTTCACGTTGGACTAACAGCAAAGATCCTGAAAGACCGTAAGTGTTTCTTTTTTTAACATGCTATTTTTGTCCCACCAGCTTCTTTTTGAGAGCTGGCAGCCTTGGATACAGCAAAAGCACAATTGACTATGAAATGGGCTGGATGTTACACACTGAACTACTGATATTTAGAGCTCAGCCCTCCTTTGACTGCACACAAGACAAATACATCCTTTTGGTTCACAGATTCAGAAAATTTCCCCACATTGACTGATTAATATATTCCAACAGATCAGTGGTGGAAAGAAACAAGTACTTCATGTGCATTTTAAACAGAGTACTGCATTTTTACATGGAGTAATACCATGTTTGTAGTTTAAAGACTGTTAGTGTAAAAGCACGGGGTGTAAGGGGAGATGTCGAGGAGTCATTTCCATACCAATTATCTCCCTGTCCTGGCTTTTATAACAACCAGGCTTACTATAGAAACACTCTTATGGTTGCCACAGCAACATGAGACACGTGTATTATACAGTGCTGTGGATTAGACTGGCTGGAAAAGCTTCAATTACAGAGAGAAACTGTTCTTTCATCTGTGTCAGGAATTCATCTGGTAGTCCAGTCACAGAGCTTTTCTTTTAGAGTATCCAGCCCCTCCTTTAATCTAAGAGGCAGACGGCCCTCCGAGGTGCTTGTTATCTTGTGTTTTTGTGTTCTGTGAGAGTGTGTGCGTTTGAGTGTGTATTTGTGTACAGTGCGCCCCGCAGAGCTCAATGAGCTAGAAAAGTATAAAGGGCAGAGACATGTTGGCTGTTGTTAGTCTGTGCTTCTGAGGATTTTGGCTTAAATGAGCCATTAAATATGTATAATAGACCGAACACAGCTGGAGGTGGACAACATGAGCCGTTTACAGTTTTTCTTAGTAAGATGAAACACAGGTTTAAACCAACTAACAATATATGGCATTCATTTTTGAATATGTTTTTAAATTGAGTTGAAATTCTATTATGGTCATAATGATATTGAGTACATTATCGTCAGGCTAGAGTTCATAATTGTCATAAATATTTGATGATGAAATTAGGGGGTGTCCCTAAGAGACTAATTTCCTAGTTATTTGAATGTATTTGAACTAATTTAAATCCTGATTAAATGACTCAGATTGATGCGAGTGTGGCTAACATGAGCAGAGCTAGCACCACCACCCTTCAGTCCTCCTTGCAGGTTAATGTACATGCCTGTGCTGGTTACCACTATGTCTAAGTGGTTATTTGCCAGTTTAACCGGAGACAGACTTCATACCACATAAAACTTAATCTTCATTTCCTCTACATCAAAATACTGACAAATCACTCTGCACTTTGAGATGCGGTCTGCAATCTGTGCCTGTTTTCATCCATATAGTACAGTATAATAGCAATATAATAGTAGCCATTGACTGGAGCTGTAGCCTCGGCTAGTGTTACTTAAAAATACTTTTTTTGCATTTAAATTCAGGACATAAGTTACTGTAAATTAAAACAATAAAATGTGTTCATCTTTGTTGTTTGTATTTTGTTTTAATGTTTACATTCTGTAATTTTTAAAGATTTTTGTACAGTTTAGTAGTGTTTGCTGCAGTTGAGAGATATGTTATCTCTTCAAAATAGAATATTTTAAACAGATGTTTAATTGAAGCGTATTTTAATGACAAAAGAAACCTAGCATCTTACTTTGTCTTTAAATCATTTTTCCATAAAAGGACTTGAAATTGTATCATTGGGCTGATAAATCTGCTTTTTCTAATCCATATATTTCTTTATCCAAATTAACTTGGAAATTTAGTTTTTTTAATTCATCTATTAGATAGGATGAATCTGTAGGTTTCACAGCATAAGTGACATTTCTGTCAGAAGCATATTTAACTGCTCTAGTCTAAACACCCGAACATCATTTAGATTAGAAACCCGCCAGTGACTGATTTAGATTTGCTATGCTGCCATTTAAGATGAAAGATGTGTCATTGAGTCTTTATAAGACAGCCCCAGACCTCCCTCATATGGTCATTCGTCTTTAACTCAAAAGAAACATTAAGATGTTTTTTTTTTGCAAAGCTGCATGTAAATCAGGCTGTTGGAGCTGTTCTCTACTGTAGCTTGAGATGGAATTGCATCTGTAAATAAATGTTGTTATGTACATTTTCTGTTCACAGCCTCACCCTTGTAACCTTCTCTCTGTCTCTCCCCTCCCCCCCACACAGTGAAGCAGCCCCCCACTATAATCAAACAGTCAGTGAAGGACTACATTGTTGACCCCAGAGACAACATCATCATCGAGTGTGAGGCCAAGGGCAACCCAGTGCCAACGTAAGCATTATGCATACCCACAAACGCATGAATACACACACACACACACACACTCAATGGTTACAACACACCCACTAATCCCCTCAGTGTAAAGGAATAGGTCATACTGCAGAGAAAAAAAGGATGTTTGAGGAGGCTGCAAACACTTCTGTAATATAACATATATTTTATTTTCTGTCAATATGGAAAGGATCTACAGAAACAAAACTCACTCAAATCAGTAAACCGAGCTCATCTTGACTCAGATGTAAGAGAAAGAAACTGCAGGAAATTGGAAATTGAGACAAAAGACTTTGTTTCTTTTCTTTACATTTGTTCTCAATATGTCTGTCTGTCTTTGGTGTCACTTTGCCTCCTGTCTGTCTTTGTCTGGCAGTGAGACTTATGAGGCCTGACAGGGCTGCTCAGATGTGCTCTTCTGCCACTCTGCCCCCCTCTGTCTGTCTGTCTGTCAATAACACATTTCCTCCCTAGACAACCCTTATTTCCTCAGTGACCCCCTCCCTCCCTGTATTGAATCATGTCGTATCCCCAAAGCTCTTCTCCTGCCCTCTAACAGTCCCATAAACTCAGCATGACACCTGTCTGTCTGCCCTCTGCAGCTTCAACCTGACATGTGGTGCTATCTGCTGCGCTCACCATGTTTCCTGCTACCCCCCGATACTGCCCCTCATCATCTTTGTCTCTCTGTCTGGCTGTCTGCTCCGGCAGCTGTGAACCCATTAAACTCTCCCTGTCTATCTGTAATTTCTCTGACATCTCTCTGCAACTGAATCCAGACAATAGAAATTTACCAAATTCACACGGCATGGCCCTAACGCCATGCTAAGGGGCGAAAGATCAGACACTCAGGTTTACTGATAATGTACACATAAGGAATGAGGTGCAAAGTAGAGCTGACCCCATGTTCCCATGCGAGTTTCCCAAAAAAGGAGCTTACATTTTACAGATGTAGTTTAGTTTAACTACCATCAGTGTATCACCCACAGTAGCCGTCAGTTTGGTCCATTTGTTGAAAAACTGGCCAAAGAAGCTGACGACTGTAACTGAAGAAATAAGGCTTTACATGTTAGCTCATGATAACGAGGAGTACAAAACTTTCTGATTACAGCACAAGAACTTGCCAAACGTATTTTTTTTCTCCCAAATGTTGCCTTACTTCCTTCACATGGCATCATGGGTAATGAAGTCCTTTTAACACAACATAAGTCATCTGGCCTCCAAATCATTTCCTGAGTGAAACTTCAACAAATTAAGTAAATGAAAATAAATATACAGTCATCTTAAAACGTATTACCTACTACATCATCTGTTTACATGCATCATGACCTCATTAACCGTTAAACAAAATAATTACTGGTGTTAATTAAAGTCCGTTAATTTAAACAGGTAATTCATTAATAAAGGCAATAGAATCAAAAATGTGAATTTACATCACATCATTTCAAGGTTATTATTTGAAAGCCAGTTTTATTTGAACCAGATCCTCCATCAATATAAAAAAAAAATATTTTGTATCTCTTCTCCACAAAACAATCTGATATAATTTGATCCTTGGTGGTTACAATCTACTTCAGAGACAGTGCGACAAAATAAAGAACACACAAACAATGCACAACTGCAAATTACAAATTGAATCCCAAGTATTTTTTTTTACATAACCGAAAAAAAAAGAAAAAACATCATGAAAGAAATTGTTAATTCCTTTTTTTGAGAGATAATATACTTGACTTACTGTATAAATTGTAGTGCTTATCACTAAACTGAAGTGTTGATTAAACACTCATGCTCAGGTATCCTACAATAACAGGTTGTCAAGTGTAAAAAATGTAATTACAGCCTAACTCAGATATCTCCTGGTGCATGTGGCGTTTTTGTCAAGACATCCTCTGCAGGGAAATTTCAACTCGAATCTCAACACTCTCCCATGCACAGCCAGACACACAATGTATATGTTGGATGCAGAGATGGATATAGATACAGGTACCTACTATCGAGCGCTATCATACAGACAACAATGATCACAACTTTAACCACACACAGAATTTAGAACATCGTCTAAGCAACAAAAGCACAACTGGCCAATTTCTGACTGATATTTGCTTCAATATTCTCCAAGAAATCCCAACAACACATGCATCATGTGCAGCAACACCAAGCCATCCAGCAAACAGCCAGCAACATCCAACATCCACCTGCAAGGTTGAAAGCTGCTACTACATAGTTAATCATGTGCACACATACAGCTCACATCTATCAAAGTGCTCACACAGTTCTCGCTTTAAAACACACACATGCACACACACACATACACACACACACACACACACACACAGGGTCTCCAGTGGTTACGTCACTGGGGGTATGACCAGCCCAGGACAGTAGTGCATTGTTTATTTGGAGACAGATTGGCTTTACGTAAGACACACATACTCACACAAACACACACAAACACACTCATGCACGCTCACCCAGATTCTTGTGTGCATGTACACACTAACACTACCCCACAATAAGGCACTCACATCCACTCTTGCAAGCACACATACAGGCTTCCCCCCTTCCCAGGACAGGCATTGTGCTCCCATAATGCACTCTGTTGACTATTCATGCTCATGAAACATTCAGCGAAAAGGATCGCTCACTTATTCACTCGCAATCAGTCTCTCACCACACACGCACACAATCAAACACGCTCTTACACACACAAACACACAAAGTTGTCGTGTCGTGTTCTTCAGTAGTGGCCCATAGTGCATTTTCCGCAGAGTGCAGCTAAACACAGAGGCACGGTTCAACCGTAACCCTCCAAAAATGACAGGAAGCATCTTTTCTATAAATCCCGGCTCATCACTAAAAATAGGGGCGGGTTATGTAAGCATATTCAGAGTTCTTCACTAATCAAAAAGCCTTCTGGAAACACCACATGGAGCAGGATTAAGCTGCAGAAGTATTACACGCACATGGAGAGCGGGTGCTGCAGCAGATTTTTGTGCCGGCAGAGAAATCTATGATGGCAACCGCATGACAGGCAGGAGGCTTTCACGTTTTCTGGTTGTTGAAACAATTAAGAGTCCAGTTTTGTATGGCAACTGAACTTTTACCATGCTGCTTATGCCTTTATTGTCTCCTCTAAAACAGGTCCATTTGAATTCCCTCTTCTGTGTTCATTTCTTTTCAGCCTGATCACTTAAAACTACATCAATGAATGTCAGTCTGCTTTCATTGACAGCAAAACTGAAAAACTTTCAAGAACAGAACTGGGAAAACCTGAACTCAAAAAAGGGTTTTTCTGTAAAACATGTTTACAGGAAGTAGTTTAAAAGTCAGAAATAGTGATTTAGAGGTGACAGAAAGTAAAAAGAGAACTGCTGAAAAGCCAAACTCTTTTGAGAAACTGAAAAACTTCTCAGAAAACTAAATGTAGAATACATAATAGAACTTGAGTATCTCTCTTAGTATATCTTTTACTTTTCTCAAATAAATCCTAATGAAACAGAATCAGGTTTATTGACCAGCAGGTTCATACATGCAAGGAATTTACTTTGGTGGTTTCGATACAAATTAGTAATGCAAAAGTAGATAGCTAGGAGACATTCAGGGGGCATTAACAAGTTAAATTATACAGTAAAGAATGATAGAGACAAATTGTACTCTTGTTGAACTCGTGTGTCTACAAGGTTGCAAATTTATTAATACTTTATATTATGAGTATTACAAATTTTAACTGGGCAACTGAAAACAAGGGATAATAAAATTCTACATGGCTATTTTTCAAGTAAAAAAAAAAACACATTTGACAGTCCAGCTAACACCAACTTATCTCAGACAGGAACTAATCACCATAAGCATTAGATTGTGTTAGATCTAAGAGGTTTGCTCTTTCCTCTTTTATCATGTAAAACTGCTGAATGTTTGTATTGTCACCAAGGTCGACTTTGATGCTACATCTCTGATTGGTTGTCTTTTGGCTTAGGTTCTCATGGCGAAGGAACGGGAAGTTTTTCAACACCGGGAAAGATCCCAGAGTGACGATGCGAAAACGCTCTGGGACTCTGGAGATTGGTTTCCGTAGCGGAGGGCGGCCAGAGGACTACGAGGGAGAGTACCAGTGCTTTGCTAGCAATGATTTAGGGGTGGCTCTGTCCAATAGAATCCTGCTCCGAGTTTCCAGTAAGAACAGAGAAAGATACAATATTTGGACATTACGCATCAAGAAATTAAACTGGGTCAGAGAAAATACATTATAACCAATGTGTCAGGTGTATTAAATGAGAAATTATGAATGGAATCTGCAAATTCTTGAAAACGTTAAAATTCCTGTGAATTTGCTCACTGTCTTTTAACCACATTGGCACCAGAAGTGTGCTATATTCTGTTCAATCATGAATACAGTGAACCAACCTAAATGTTCCCCTTTATCCATTCCCCTCTCCTTCCTTCTTGTCTTCAGAGGCTCCTTTGTGGCCTAAAGAGGTGCTGGAACCAGTGGTGGTAGCGGAGGGCTCCCCACTGATTCTCCCCTGCAACCCCCCACCAGGCCTGCCTCCCCCCTTCACCTTCTGGATGAACAGTGGTAAGCACTCATTTCACGCACAAACACAAATGCACCTTCAGTGTTTATTATAAAAGAGGTTTGCTCGATCTGATTCGTCTGTTTCCACACTGTCTGCACTTCTATTAGCAGGTAAAAGTGACCGATTGAGCCTTTTTCAGTGCGGTTTTATAATTATGAGGTTGGCTTTCGTGTGATCAATGTTTTGAGGTGATACAGAGACTGGAAGCCATTACACTGAGCATTTTATTTAACGCCTATGTCTTAACATCAGCATTTTGAACCAAGAGCAAAGGTCCTTTCACACCAGGACCATTTTTGTCCTGCGATTATTTCGGACGTCAATATTTTTTTTCGAACCCATATCCTGTCAAAATTCGCCTCCGACTATTTTGTAATTTCATGTTCTATATTCGCGTCGGCCCCAGTGTGTAAGGACCTTAAAACTTAGATACCACCCACAGTGTCTTCGGATGTGATCCTAGTCATGGTTTTGTCAACAGGAAAAGTTGCACAACAAACTGAAAAAAGATAATTTTAGATTTTAAAGGCTGAAACCAATCGGGAGTTTCTCGAGGTCAATCAGCATTCAGATGAGAAAACAATCTTGATGATGAGTGCGCATTATTTATTTTAAAATCCCTTTACATTTTCATCAGCTGAGGGTCTTTTAGGTCATCTAATCCTCATTCTTAGAGCCGTTTCAGTGACATGCTTTAGTTCAGGGTTTTATCCTTCTGGCTTTTGTCTCCCTCAAAAGAAGTAAAACTTTTTTATATTCTAACACTGTTGTATTTTTACTCTGAAGGCTCATATACTGTGTATAGGGCTGGGCGATATGGGAAAAGGTTTATCACAATATATTTTTTCACATCAGTTGATATCGATATATATCACGATATAAAAATGAAATTTAACAGTGCTTATTGGTAGCATGTCCTTTGCAATACAATAAGCTACTGCATCTGTGAGTTCACTGACAGTGCTGTCGGCTTCACGTGTTAAAGTGCTATAGTTGCGTGTAACTGCAGCCTGTAACTTTGCATTTGTTTGCTACTTGGTTTTATTTCAGCGAATGATCGGTTCAGCGCAAAGCGGACCTGGAGCAACTCCCCAAAACATGGCAGAATACTGACTATCAAAAAGCATATTGACCATGTTTTGTATTGATATTGAGGGACATAAATTTTCAATATATATCATTATCATTTTATTGCCCAACTAATGTCCAACAAGAACCCATATTTAAGATTGCAAACTTGGTGTCCTTGAGGCTGTTTCAACTTGGATTGCAGTTTGTGTGTTTTCTAAACTAGCCTCATCACAAACTACAAAAATGGCTTTCCAGAATATGATGATTATATGATAGAGGAGACATTTACAGTGTTTTGGCTGACTTAGATACTTACCTGTAGCAGGCATATCAGGTGGAAGAAATGCAGCAGAGTTGGATGTACTGTAATGACATGAAATGCATCTATTACATGAAAACACCGTCCTCAGAAACAATAAAACTGATTACTGCAAGTAATTATTCTTGTATTCGAGATGATGACTTGTTTAAGGAAAACATTTCAACATATTCACCAAAACAAAAAAAGAATTCCTGCCCAGTTAAATACACAGACAGTGAAGCTGTAAGCCTTTTACCCAATGTGACCTCTAGTCTCTCTGCATATAAATGACACACACTGACTGAAACACACACTCAGATCATCCACTGTACATCATATCAGTGTGGCATGTAGCCCAGACATTGTATCCCGCCAACATGTGATTAAGGTTGCTGGCTGGGCTGCTGATTGGTCCTGGGGCGTTGTCTTGGCGACCATACGGTTCCCATCAGTCAGTGCAGTGAAGAAGCAAGGATGATAGTGTCTGAGTGTCTGTGTCGGTGAGCTGTGAGCTAACATCTGCCTGTAGCGGCTGTAGGATGACACATCAGCAGGACTACCGAGGCTAACACGAACAGACGTGGAACAGAGTGTGCAAATATATGCATCCAGCTCTCTACATGCTACTGGTCGGCCTGGAAGGGATCCCTGCTTCAACGTTTGGATATATTTGTATGCTTTTATAAAGATGCAGGATACAGTATTAGCCTGGCATTCCTCAACAAACGTGTACAAACAGAAACAGGAACACGAGAGAGGCAGTTCAACTCAGAGTATTTGTGACAAACATGTATGGTTACTCACAGCTTACTGGAGATGAAGTAGTCCAGGAGGAGGCAGCTATGAATGAATAATGCAACAAGCAAACAGCATCCAGGAAAACGGACATAGGGGGGAGGCTGGACGTTTGATACAGAGAACAGAGTTGACCTCACACTGAGAAAAGACAACACCCAACATCTCAGCCACACTTTTTTTCCCCCTAAACATTGTAGGTACCTCACATGCAGTATGCACACCTTATGAATTTAGTCCTATATCCTAAATAAGGACTTGAATTTTGCTACTCTTTCTCAAACATATATTTTCTTTCTGTAGTGAATCTTACTGTTTTTGAGTCTCAAAACATTATAAATTTGCAGAAAGTCCTGTATTGATAAACAATGCTGAGAATCCTCTCATAGAGCTCTTAACTTTGCTCAATGACCTTTAGCATCTAGGTCTGGCTTAGGAGTGATTTACAAACAATGTGAGGGTGACTGAGCGAGGAAGAGATAGGATCTTTAAGCTCAGTGAGGAATCCTGGTTGACCCTGTTGCAAGGTATTCCCTCACAAGCCATGATTGGTCAATTTACAAAGGAGAGAAACTGTGTGAAAGAAGGATCCTTTTATTAACAGGCAAAGAAGAACAACAACATTAATCAGCCTGATCAGATGTCTGAAAATTCATGCACACTGTACTGTTGCCTCTTCACAAGCTGAAAGTAAACTTAAACGTATTCATACTGAACCCCTTTCAGTCCAGGATGCAGGTTGACCAAGTCAGCCTGTCCCATTAGACATAAATTAACTTTGACTTTCCTTTTTGTTGTTTTTTTGAAACGAGTGACTGGTCTTTTTTTTTTTTACATGGTAAAGTAATTTAGAGGATGTGTTCTCTTATATTGGAGAATAAGTTTAAGTGAAATCTAGAAATGTAAAACTTGTATACCTTTGCTGCTCCTCACCTCTTATGCCCTGGTGTCTTTTAGCGTCTCTGTAAAAATATTTCTTCATTAATAACACTGGCTAATTGCCTAATGCTTATGTCCTGTTATCTTCTCTATAGATCAGATGTGTTCTTGGGGTTTGATTTCCTCTCTGTCTCTCTCTCTCTGTCTTCCAGGTATGATTCCCATCCCTCAGGATAAGAGAGTGTCCATGGGTTTGAACGGTGACCTCTACTTTTCCAACGTTTTGGCCAAAGATGCTCACACCGACTACAGCTGCAACGCTCGCTTCCTCTTCACACACACCATCCAGCAGAAGAACCCCTTTACACTCAAAGTTCCGACCAGTGAGTACACAACACACACTCACAGTGACACACACTCATGATTGTGAGTTATATCTTCAAAAACTGCTCATTAATCATTTATGATCTGTTAATGTTTCACTGTTTTATTTGTACAGTACTGCTGTGACAGCCTGTGACCTCTGTGGTCCTGGGGCCTGGACAACAAAGATATTGGGGTAGATTTGGTATTTGGAGTACAATACAATAATAGAATACATTTTATTTATAAAAACGTGTTTCTTTAAATTCAAGGTTACTTTACAAATAAAAAAGTACAATACAACAACAAGATAGAAGTCAAATATAATGTTAACTTGGAGTTTTCAACACTAAGAAGGCAGTAATGTCACAAGACCTTTTCATCGCTGTTTGTATCATATGAATCATATGAATGTGGAGGGAAAAAAAGAAAGTTTTTACAAGTTTTTGATTTAACTTTTGCATGATTTTGTATGAGGATTTATTTAAGATCATTTACGGGTCAATCTCATCACAATCTGGTCTTAAACAGCCATGCCGAAAGCAAATGTAACATGTAAAGCCCACAAGATGCAACTCCCTGGTTTTGTGAAGTATACCTTAGTTGATGAGTTGTTGACCTGAGAGGCTGAATGTGTAAAATTCGGTCTGTCTTTATGTACAAGTACACCAGCAGCAAGAGTGGCCCACTACACTACACTACGCATACTCTCCAAATGTCTCCCTAAAGCTCTTTTCAAAAATTCACTCCGGAAAACGTCTGGAAAATTTCAGGGGGCTCTTGTGTGGAAATTTATCTGACTGGACTGTTTACACATAAATCCTTACAGCATGAAGTCCCCCCTGTTGTAGCGTGGAGGGGTTTCAAGAGGCTAACCACGATTTCAGATCAACATTGCTGTTGTCACGATGTAACGTTTTAAAATTCTGCCCAAGGTCAAAATCACTGATCCTTCAATTGAACTTTTCCAGGAGTTTAAGGTTTTTTTTTCCACTCTCAACCTCCTAGAAAGATGTGTCTGTTCATAGATGCATAAAACATGCAGTATATGTACACTTATCATATATACACAAAAATCCTTGACGGATAAGTGAAATGAACATACTGGAGAGGAGAACTGAGTATAAGGCCATCTGACCACTTTGCGTGCTGTCCTCTCAGGTTCAATATGGCATTATGTTGAAGTGTTTCCCAATAGATGTGCTACTAAGCGGCTCTGTGCATGTGTCAAGCTTGTCACTTGTGGGAGTGTAATTGGATGAAGGACATCAGACTGTGTAGAAAAGCTGCTGTGTAAATCTGAATGACGGATTGTGCAATAGAGAATAAAAGCACACTCCTACACCTCTAACACTACAAACACAGAGAGGAGTAGTGTGACATGAAGTAACACTATACTGACAGCATTATTTGATATGTGATATTGGTCCAATGACAAACTGACCACCTTTGTAACCGATTAAACTAGGTTGACTGTACACCAGGCAGTTTACCGCATGAGAAACTTAAACAACCCCTGCCCGCTAACCTGAAAAGATACCAGGGCGAGCAGGAGCTGGAAATTTTTTGGGTGAAGTTGAGTGGAAAACCCAGATTTTAGATCTTTTTATTTTGAGCCTCTGTAAGGAAAAAAAAATCTCATCCTGTTTTCATTTAATGGTCCGTTGAATCATTTATGTTGATTGATTCTTATAAGACCCTTCCATCCCAACAGCTCAGATACTGTATTAGAAATAACTAGAAATAGTAGATTATTATGGTCTAGACTGATTATTATGGTCTTTGAATTTAGGGTAAGGAAAACCAGATTACCAAAACAAGCTGACTTTGGTGGCTGAACTTCATCATATAGTCCTCTCTTCTCGTCCTATGTGTGTGTGTGTGTTGTGATCACACACCAATGCAACCTCTGTGAGGATAAGACAGGATATGAGATGAGATGCATGAAGTCATAACTCTTTATTATGTCTCCTCAGGGTGTTGCGAAATAAAGAAGAGGATGAAATGTTTTGTTTTTGCATAACTTTGAATCTTTTCTTTCAGCTTGTGTGGTCCATTTGTGTTGTGTGTGTGTGTGCGCAGACTGATGATACAATGTGTGTGATTGTGTTTTCAGGCGAGCCGTATAATGAAACATCTTACAATGCCACTGACCCGTACGGTGGTGAGTCACTCTATGTCTGGACAGCTCTGTTTTCTGTCCACCTCAGTCGTGTCGCACTTTAGCATGGCGAGCGCACTAACCTGCTAGCTCAGTGATGCCAAAGTCACGCACTGACCTCACTCTGACTGTAGACACACGTTTAACCCCCTAACCGCTCTCGAGCTGTAGGACTCACTGTTTGCTTTCATGTGGAAATGTGAGTGAGGATTGTTGTGGTACAGAGTTTTTCATATTAAGACATTTTCCAGGAGCAGATCAGCAACACATTGTTATAACATTTAGAGCTTTCTTAAGAATCTGCAAAAAAAATGAGTGTTACATTTTAGTATCTGTGCGACCTTTACTTAACGACAACTTCACAAGATGTGTCACATTCCTAATTTTACAAGCAGATGGCTCCTCCTTTGACATTACCCTTCAAAATTACACATAGGCTGATCACATATCAAAATAACAACTTTATGGCTGATGTGCATCTACATATCTGCAAATTTACTTCCTCATTCCTGTAACTATACAACTTTATTCTTAAAGTACAGAGCCAACAGTATTTGGGGATTTCATTGTCCACAGTACATAATGTCCTTGACTAGTTTAGAGCATCTGCATCAATCTCTAAACAAAAGAGACAGGACCAACACTGGGTGGCAGTGAGTTTTAAGCTTTTGGAATTGAGTTAAAAAAAGACAGACTCTGTAGTGGAAACCACTGCACGGGCGTATCAAATCTAAAAAGCTTTGGCTGAGGATAAAGGTTGTTGCTGCATCCACAAATGCTGGTTAAAACTGCAGCATACAACTTCTCTGGACCTGAGCCAGTGTAAGATGGACACAGATTGAAAAGTTTTGTCCTGTGGTCTGACATCTGAAAATTTGACAGTCTTTTTGGAAATCCTGGATGCTGCATTCTGATCTGAAGAGAAGAGGGACCACACGGCTCATTGTCAGCGCACAAATCGAAAGTTGGTTTCCATGATGGCAAAGAGATGCCTAAGTATCCGTGTCATGAGTAGCTTCCACATCTGTGAAGGTTCCATTAATGCTGAACAATATCTACATCTGCTGCCATCCAGACAAAGACTTTTCAGGGAAGACCTTTATGTTTTAGCAAGACAACCACAAACAACATTCTGCAGGAATTACAACAACACGGCTCTGTAGTTGAAGAGTCCTGCTGATAGACTGGCCTGTCTACAGCCCTAACTCATCGCCTTTGCACAATTGGTGACGCCAAAATTAACAGTGTGGACCCTGAACTGTTGAGATCTTTTTATTTTGAGCCTCTGTAAGGAAAAAGAAATCTCATCCTGATTTCATTTAATGGTCCGTTGAATCATTTATATTGATTGATTCTTATAAGACCCTTCCATCCCAACAGCTCAGATACTGTATTAGAAATAACTAGAAATAGTAGATTATTATGGTCTAGACTGATTATTATTGTCTTTGAATTTAGGGTAAGGAAAACCAGATTACCAAAACAAGCTGACTTTGGTGGCTGAACTTCATCATATAGTCCTCTCTTCTCGTCCTATGTGTGTGTGTGTGTTGTGATCACACACCAATGCAACCTCTGTGAGGATAAGACAGGATATGAGATGAGATGCATGAAGTCATAACTCTTTATTATGTCTCCTCAGGGTGTTGCAAAATAAAGAAGAGGATGAAATGTTTTGTTTTTGCATAACTTTGAATCTTTTCTTTCAGCTTGTGTGGTCCATTTGTGTTTGTGTGTGTGTGTGTGCAGACTGATGATACAATGTGTGTGATTGTGTTTTCAGGCGAGCCATATAATGAAACATCTTACAATGCCACTGACCCGTACGGTGGTGAGTCACTCTATGTCTGGACAGCTCTGTTTTCTGTCCACCTCAGTCGTGTCGCACTTTAGCATGGCGAGCGCACTAACCTGCTAGCTCATTGATGCCAAAGTCACGCATTGACCTCACTCTGACTGTAGACACACGTTTAACCCCCTAACCGCTCTCGAGCTGTAGGACTCACTGTTTGCTTTCGTGTGGAAATGTGAGCGAGGATTGTTGTGGTACAGAGTTTTTCATATTAAGACATTTTCCAGGAGTAGATCAGAAACACATTGTTATAACATTTAGAGCTTTGTTAAGAATCTGCAAAAAAACTGAGTGTTACATTTTAGTATCTGTGCGACCTTTACTTAACAACAACTTCACAAGATGTGTCACGTTCCTAATTTTACAAGCAGATGGCTCCTCCTTTGACATTACCCTTCAAAATTACACATAGGCTGATCATAAATTAAAATAACTTTATGGCTGATGTGCATCTACATATCTACAAATTTACTTCCTCGTTCAAGTATTTCATTGTCTACAGTACATAATGTCATTGAATAGTTTAGAGCATCTGCATCAATCTCTAAACAAAAGAGACAGGACCAACACTGGGTGGCAGTGAGTTTTAAGCTTTTGGAATTGAGTTAAAAAAAGACAGACTCTGTAGTGGAAACCACTGCACGGGCGTATCAAATCTAAAAAGCTTTGGCTGAGGATAAAGGTTGTTGCTGCATCCACAAATGCTGGTTAAAACTGTAGCATACAACTTCTGATGGACACAGATTGAAAAGTTTTGTCCTGTGGTCTGACATCTGAAAATTTGACAGTCTTTTTGGAAATCCTGGATGCTGCATTCTGATCTGAAGAGAAGAGGGACCACATGGCTCATTGTCAGCGCACAAATCGAAAGTTGGTTTCCATGATGGCAAAGAGATGCCTAAGTATCCGTGTCATGAGTAGCTTCCACATCTGTGAAGGTTCCATTAATGCTGAACAATATCTACATCTGCTGCCATCCAGACAAAGACTTTTTCAGGGAAGACCTTTATGTTTTAGCAAGACAACCACAAACAACATTCTGCAGGAATTACAACAACACGGCTCTGTAGTTGAAGAGTCCTGCTGATAGACTGGCCTGTCTACAGCCCTAACTCATCGCCTTTGCACAATTGGTGACGCCAAAATTAACAGTGTGGACCCTGAACTGTTGAGAGGCTGAAATCCTCTATCAGAACAGAATGTTTTCAGAGTTTTTAAAAGAAGAGGTGATGGACCACGATGTTAAACTGACCCCTGCTCCAACTGTTTCGAAATATGTTGCAAGCATCACATTTAAAATGAGCATATTCATATTTTTCATTTAAAAAAAGTTTTTTTTTTTGTCATCTGTATATCATTTTAAATCAAATACATGGCCCCGTTTGTCTTCATAATTGCGGTCGTGCTACGACTTTATACCTATCAGTTTAATGTTTTTTTCTCCAAATCTCACATTCTGCTAACCCGGCCTTAACATCCCACCTTTTTGAATAACTGAGATAGTGGAGCGAGTTTAATACAAATGATGCTGTAGAATCATTTTTCTTCCTTTATTCGTGTCAGTCAGCTTTTCATTAAGAACAAATTTAAATCAAATGAAATTATTTCCAGTGACCATCCAAACCAGACATTACTCTCAATAACAGACAAAGCACCATCTTCACAGCCCTAATACTCTCACTCTCTTCCAAAACTGAAATATTCATCTCATTTAATCCGTAATCTGTTTATTCCACCTTTCAATCAGTGTTAAATGATCGCACATGATGAATAAACCTACAGTAATTTACACAAATTACCCTGGATTCAAATATACTACTAATGCACGGAGAGAGAGCTCGGTCTGTATAATCATTTTGCCATACACCTATTAAAAGAGCCCATAGCTGGAGGGGAGAGATCAGCCAAAGTGGCAGCATATGGGCCATTTGCTGAGCTGAGGGGTGCAGCATGAGGGCAGTGGAGCCCAGGGGTAGATGGGATACGTCCCCCAGAGAGTAGATCTTCCCTGTGATCCCTGTGACAAAGCAGAGCGAAGCCTCTGAGGCTGAGTGGGAGGATTAGGTCACATGATGAATATTCAGTTTGTAGTCCTGCTGAGGTCATTAATAATCATGTTTGTATGGAAATAAGGCTGCTGCTGCTTCTATGAACACATATCTAGGGAGGAGTTAAAATCAGACTCAAACAAAACAATGTTTTATTTTATCACTGTTTACAGAAAAGGCAACTTTGTTTAGAGGGAGGAACAGGGTCTGAAGCTGCAGTGAAGCCCTGCCAGCATCATTAGCAGGTTGTTTGTGTTGTTTCCATGGTGCTCACAGCGTCACTGTAGCTGCTGCAACTGTAGTGATTGGTTAAAAGAAGAACTTTGGCATTCGTCGCAGCTAATTCCTGATGTCTTCTTCTTCTTTTCAGTGTTTTCTCCTCTTCTTGTCTGTCGTTCCCTCCCAGTGTCACTAACTATAACAGACCCTCCACACCCACTCCTGTCTGTTTAAAGGCCACTGGAGAAGCTAACTGCTAACAGATGCTTTAATCCTATTCAGATCTGCATCCCAAAGGAAGCCAATGCTAATTTAATGCTTTACAATTCTAAGCAGGCTGCAGCTGTCTGCTCACACAGTGTTGTACTCAGCATGCATGTCTGGATATGTACTGGGGTATATTCAATTTATTTGAACTGGTGCACTCAGTGGTGATGTTGCCAACAATCTTTAGTTTGTCAATTAATCAAATGTTATTTTTAAGATCAGCCCTTTGGAGCACAAGGATAGATCTCGACCTCCGCTTCTTAAAACTTCAAAGATTATGCTGCAAAGAGAACCCATTTTGTATAAACTAAGAGACTCTCTGAAGTCACATCAATCCAGCATGTCAGATCTTTAGTTTTGGAATAAACAAAAGGCTGTTGCACTTTGCAAAATGCTGCTAAATCTGGAGAAGCTTTTGCCAAAATACTTGAAAATATGACCCATATAGGATAAAATCCATACTGGCTATTGCCATAGTGGTAAATGCCATATCTAGAGCATATCTAATCTCCAGGGATGGGACCACTTTGGAACCACAGGGGTAAAGAGTTGACTGATGCCATGTTTTGACTGTCACGCGTGACACATTTCTGATGTTGGTACAGTATTTTGATCATATGTCAAAGATCTGGTAATAGTCCAGCCAAATGCTGAGTCCATATTATAGGCTGTATATACTATGGAGAACTTGGTTCTGCCTTCTGCCAGTATTCGGATTTGAAGCCGAAAAGCACTCAGTAATTCCACGTTTATTCTCCATTCCTGAAACCAACATTGCGCAGTAGCGTTGTACGCACTCCAACACTTGCTCAGTAGCATTGTGCGCATTCAGCAGGAGTCACCGAGAGTCACTGTGATGATGCTCAGCTCAAACAGCATATCCCCGGGGTGAGCTACGCCATCTTTGTACACCCATAGGCTGTATCAAGTGTCAATAATCAAAAACATGAACACCCTAATAACTTTTAAAAATGGAGCTGTACAGAAAAAAAGGACTTGAGCACAAACTAGTCTCACACTAACTATGTCAACATCGCAAGGGGGAGAAAAAATTACATTCTGTGTAATAAATTTCTGAAGTTTGTCCACAGCCTCACAAGGATGGCAGATTTATCCCCTTTACTGCAGCTCGTCACCAGAGGGTGCTGTTCTCAGAGTGGCTTCACCCAACGAGGAGGCAGACAGCGTCCATTCTAGATACAGTCTATGGTCCATGCATTTTAATAAGTGGCCGAGAAGAATGTTGAACAATAAAGTGAACTTCTACCTTACACTTAGAATTGCACCTGCAGATTCTGTCAGTGTAGATAAGTTAGGATTCCTTCTGATATTTTTTTTGTTTATCACACGAAGAAGATAAATAGAAAGAGACAAAAGCAGCTGGTATGACAGCAGACAAGGAAATGTTGAAATCTGTTAGAATAAGTCATTTAATACAAATTGATTTGAACTAAGAAAAAAGAAAATCAATATCCCCATTACCTTTAAAGAGGACCTGTTAAAAAAAAAAGTCACATTTATTTATTATTATTATTTTTTTTAGGTTTTGTTCTTCAGATAGTTCCCCTGTCACCGTACACCAACAGGGAGAGTTAAGCCCATTCAATGCCTGATTGAAATACCTCTTCTGTGGTTGTAGTTTGCAAACACAGTCAGCACTTGGTAGTTCAATCACGTCCCTGATTGCTCAGCTAAACAAACAGTTTGATTAATTCACACTCAGACCTTTGCTCACTATTTGTGTCCAAGCAACCAAGTAATCAAATAAAGTCACCAGAGGATTAAACTGTGGGGTGTGTAAAAAAAAAAAGTGCTCAAATCTACGAGTCAGCTCCAAGAAGCACAAAAACTCTGCTCTAAGTGTTCCAGTTTTGGAGAGGCAACAATCAGGAGTCTACTGCAGATTAAAACTTTAGCCAAACCCCTTCGGGAGGATTTTACATGGGGTGGAAGGCTAATGCCGTCATGATGTTAAAATATCATTATTGTATCAGAACAGAAGGGGGACTTGCTTCTTTAATTTGCTTTTAACTACAGTCTTTGCAATCTCTGTTCTCTTTGCAAACATAAACCCAGATCAATGTCGCCGTTGTTGTTTCTGTGTTTCTTAATGTCCTTCTTTGAGAGAAGCCAGAGGGTGTTAAACCCGTTTACAGGCTGCTCTGGCCTCACAGCAGACTGCACAGAGAGCCAAAGCCTGATGGAGCAGGAACACAGCCACGGGAAATGATCAGAGTTCTAGTAGATTTATGTGGCTATTTCAAGAAAGAGAAGTTAGCTCCTAATAAACAAAACAGCAATGCTCCTGGGTTTGATTCTCAAGTTTTTAGTGTGTTTTTGTGTTTATTAAACCCTCTTTGTTGCTTGTCAACAGGCCGTAAAGTAGCCGAATCCATACCTAGCTTCCTTTCACCTTTGGGGGCAGAGAGCTCAAAAATGGTGCTACGAGATGAACAGCTGCTACTGGAGTGCATCGCTGCTGGACTGTGAGCTCAAACACACGCGCGCACACACACACACACACACACACACACCTTTGAACTTTGGTCTTTTCAGCTGAGCACCTCCTGACGTTAGTAGACATAAATTTTTGGCAAAAGAAAATTCTTTATTGGGGGAGGACGAAAGCACGGTACAATCAGAAGGGAACTCTTTAAAAATGGATTGTAACATCATTTTCTCCACTCTGTCTGCTCTGTTTGAAGGTCCACTTCACAAAGCAAATAAAGCTAACGATAGTCAAGCCCCACAGCTCTGCAGCTCTGTGCAGTTTGTTCCAGTTTTGAGTCTGATTGTGACTGAGATGAGCTGTCAGCATCTTCACACTCGTCTGCACAGAGCTGTAGTGTGCACTCTCATCCTGACTTCTTGAGTCTTGAATTCCCATGTATGAAAACAACAACAACAATAATAATAATAACAATAACAATAATAATAATAATAAAAATGATGATAATAATCATAATAATAATAATAATAATAATACATTTTATTTATTGTGCCCTTTATATTGGGAAAACCCTCCCCTAGGAAATAGAAAGTCCACAGAGAGAATCTAGCTAAAAGCTTGCCCAGAAGAAAATTGACTATAAAAAAAACTGACTATAAAAATGGGATGAAATCACAGAGTAAAATCAAAGATCACAGAGGTTAGGAAGCAGCGAACTTATAACACCAATGCATAACTGTCAAGTTTTGGTTTGGAAAATAAGGGAAATTTTCTGACACTCCCCCCAGATCAGTGCAGCAAGCTGATGACAACTTGCTACTACTTGTTAGTCATGGTGTTGGTGGGTACCTAACGCACGCTAGTGACAGAGTTAAGCTTGGAAAGGCAGAAATTTATTTTTTTTTTTTAATATACATATTTTAAGATTCGGGAGATTTACGGGACAATACTCATACGGGTAGACGGCCAGAAAGAAGGCTAAAGTACGATAGTTTACCGGCCATAATGGGATACTTGACAGCTATGCCCCAGCGTCCTCTCCCTTCTGCTCTCCCTGAAGAGCTTGATAGATGGAGACATTTACTGACATTGTTTGAATTACAGATATGGTACAAAATAAACAGAGTATATCCAGCTTTTTTTCTCGCAGCCAGCTGACAACAAGCTTCTTGTTCAGATTTTTAAAGTTTTGCAGAAGCACGCTGTCATGTGTAATGGCACAGCTTGGATGTCCAGAAGTTGAGCCACAGATAGGCCCAGGCTGATATACCTCATTATCATTATTTTAAAGACAACCTCGAGCAATTATAACACACTTTGGGGCAAAAATTCATTACTGTTGTCTTGATTAAAGTTTGAGCTTGTCATACCTTATAAGTACAGCACAAATACCAACAACTGTTAGCAAACAGTAAAAGTTTAACCGGCTGTTAGGGTTAGTATCCCTCGGAGTATCCTCTCTGCATTTTCAGGTCTGTTTCTTCAAACAAATGTGTCCGTTTTCAGCCATCCCTGAATGTGTAAACTCCCTTTTGGCAAATGTAAACTATCTAGTAATCAAGCTTATTTTCTCTCTGGTGTCTTTTTTCTCTATCCTTCCCTTTAGTCCGACTCCCGAGGTCAAGTGGTTTAAGAAGGGTGGAGACCTGCCGGCACAGAAAGTGAAGTTTGAGCAATTCAATAAGACTCTGAAGATAATCAATGTGTCCGAGGAGGATGCAGGGGAGTACGTTTGCATGGCCACCAATCAATTAGGTGGCGTACGCCACTCCATCTTTGTTCAGGTCAAAGGTGAGGACATGCCAGTGTGTTTGCTTCATAAACTGTGTGAGATGTGGATGCGGCCATTTTTAATTAAAAACCATTTTGGAGAGATCAATAAATCAAAGGTTGTCATATTCCAAATTAGGCCATGATTTTTTAAATGAACATTGTCTTCTACTCTATAAACAATACAAACCTACTCAGCCTCTACTGCAGTACATTAATCGTCTGTGAGACTTTTCGATCTGCCTCATTTTAAAAACCTGTGAAGTCTCCCTCACAGGTCCTCTGAAAGACTTCTGATGTAGTCCACTGTTAAAACAAAATAAGATCGTGCTCATGTGTGAATCCGTCTTTTAACCTGACTTCCTATGTTCCATAGCGGCTCCTTACTGGCTGGACAAGCCAACAAATCTGGCGCTGGCACCAGATGAGAATGGGCGGCTGGTGTGTCGTGCAAATGGAAACCCCAAACCCAACATCCAGTGGCTGATCAACGGCGAGCCTGTAGAGAGTACGTAGAGCGATTGCATTAACCTTCAAATTCTTGTTCTTTCTTTTCTTTTGATTACTTTCTTTTACAAAAGTTTGAGAGGAGCTGGTTGAGGAAAGTGTTTAGAAATATGTACACATTTATGGGGACAAGTTTTAAGTGGTGATGAGTTTAAATGAGTGCAAAGACTTACAGGAAGTTACATCAGGCTATTAGGGCTTGAATGGCCCTTTTCAAGCTCTGAAATGATTGGAAAGGGTAATTTTTGATAAGGCAAAACTGGTGGATTAAAGAGTGCAAAAGATATTTTTAGTTTGTTCTCATGTATCAGTCAAAGAGCAGCTGTACGCACTCAAGGTTCAGGCGTTTTAACATGAAATCAATCTTTGTACGCTGCAAAACCACAAGCTCTGCAGTAAGGGAATATCTTATTACCCTGTGATTTTTATCTGGAGAGATTTTTAGATTAATGATTGATTTTCACAAATCAAAGATATGCTGTATGTCAAGTTTTTCCAGGTTATAGGGATTGCTCAGTGCGACTCAGTAGCACACGAGTCCCTGTTTGATTTGGATGTGAATTACAGACAGTTAAGACAAAAGCAAACCTGCGGCAGGATTATAATGAGCTGATTGTCTAGATTTCAGTGAACAAAGACCATGGCTAGGATCAGTTTTGATATATTTACTGGAAAGAAGTAGACATTAAAATGCACATTTTTAACTGTAACCACTCAGAACCAATCCAATTTTAATATAGCCTTCTTTTTAGAGCTTGAATATTGTAAAAAGAAAAAAGAAAAGGTATTCTTCAACGCTCTTTCTTCCCTCTTGGCTCCAGCTGCTTTTCCTAACCCAAGCAGACAGGTGCTGGGCGACACCATCATCTTCCGCTCAGTTCAGATGGGCAGCAGTGCCGTCTACCAGTGCAATGCCTCCAACCAGCACGGTTACCTGCTGGCCAACGCCTTGGTCAGCGTCATTGGTGAGTCAGGAATATTAAAAAGTTAATATTGACGGCTTATATCTTGTTCGTACCGGTGTTTCAGGTTTGTAGATCCTTTTCTAAAAAAGTTTTATTGTGAAGCATTAGGTCTGAAATGATTTGTGGGAAAAAGATGCATCCTGGGAAAGATTTTTTTCTGGGGAAAGTCCCACCTCCTTCGCCTCTGATTGGCTAGAAAAGCTGGAAACGTCATCACACGCTCCGAGATAAGCACGTGAAACTATGGTAACAACCGTTAGCTTTCGTTAGCACAGATAAAAGTTAAAACAAAGATGTTTAGCAAACTGTTAAAGCACACAAACCATCGTCATATGAGAAATCCGACGCTATGACTCTCCACAAGCTGTCGTTCAGATCGTTATCTTTGTAATGTTTGTGTCTTTTATCAAAAAGCACTCTGTTCTTCGACACGTAAACAATTAGCCGGTCGGCCATGTTGAATATACCGTTGAACAACAACAACATGCAATCTGATTGGTCAGAAGTGGACACACAGAATGCGAAACTTTAGAAAAATCGACCGTGATCCGACGTCGCTGATGTGAACGCTTGTATTGACAGGATACGGGTTCGAAAAAAAATATTGACCTCTGAAATAATAGCGCGACAAAAACGGTCCCGGTGTGAAAGGACCTTTAGTCTTTATATAACATTTTACAAATCTAATACACTGACATTAAGATGCTGGCTGAAAGTAGTGACAGTGTTACCTACTCTCTCTTCTCCGTGTAGACATGCCTCCAAGGATGCTGGGCCCTAAAAACCAGCTGATCAGGGTCATCGAGAACAACCGCACTTTCCTGGACTGTCCCTTCTTTGGTTCTCCTCATCCTGCCCTACGCTGGTGAGCCTCCAATATCCTTAATGTTTCTTTAAAAAATAGTTAAACTCTTGAAACCCTGTTGGAGATTTACAAACTTCAGCATGAATCATTAAATGTATAGATTTATATTTGTATTTGTGTGTGTGCAGGTTTAAGAATGGACAGGGCAGCGGTCTGGATGGGGGTCAGTACCGGGCTTACCTGAACGGCAGTCTGGAGATCAAACGGGCCCGGGTAGAGGATGAAGGAACCTACACCTGTGTGGCCAACAGCATTCTGGGCAAGGCTGAGAACCAGGTCCGCCTGGAGGTCAAAGGTCAGACATTATATAACAGCTGCACTCAGACTTTAATGAGACTTACTGCCATGACTCAGCATTCATGTTCACAATGAATCTTAAGTACTCATCTTATCGACAGCATGTCAGCTTCTTAAATCAGTCTGAATGTGCAGCGTTTACGGATTCCTGAAAAATGAAATGTGTGAATTACAAAATGATCTTCTCCCCTCGTGCCAAACAGTCTGCTCCTGTGGATTACTCTCACATCTGTTGTGCCTTTAATTCAACTGGCCTTTATTCTAATACCAGTGACATCTACACTCCAGCTGTTTACTCCATTAACGTGTCCTCCCTAGCTTTCAGAGCTGTATCAGTTCAGATGCACTAACTCCCTTATTTCCTTGGATGCATTTTCACACAAACTTAGAGGCGACTCGTATCATTCGAGCCCCGGAGCATCAGTCCGTTGTCAGGGGCGCCGCGGCTCGCTTTGACTGTAAGGTGAACTCTGACCCCAGCCTGTCCGTCACTGTGACCTGGATGAAGGATGACAAACCTTTCCACCTTGGATGGAGGTAACAACAGTGTCCAGGATAACTGCGCTGACAGACTCTCGATTTGCTCTGACTTTTATTTAAAGTTCTTCTTTTGATATTGAACTACAAAGATAAGTCTTAGACATTATTTACACAGTTTGCAGTCTGCAATTTTGAGACCCGGTATTAAGTAGCCGTAATTTCCAAACCTAATGTTTATTGATTTGTTTTTTATTTATTTATTTTGGGGCTTTTTTAGTCCCTTACTGACATACAGAGAACGGTTCATAGATCAGCCAATCATTCCTTCTTTTGTGTCCCAGGATGAGGAAAGACGAGGAGTCACTGACCATCTCCAATGTGAACGAGGGGGATGAGGGGATGTACACCTGCTCTGCTAAATCTGAAATAGATGAGGACACATCCTCGGCCCGTCTCACTGTGTTAGGTACACCCGCATACATACATACAGAGCAGGGACTTGGAATTATCTATTGTAGCATTAGCTTGTTTGTTACGCCAAATATTTCCTTTAAAAGAGATTAGAGAACACTCAAGAAAAACAGGCATCACTTATGTTGTTTCTCTCTCAACACAGACACACACACACACACACACACACACACACACACACACACACACACACACACACACACACACACACACACTAACGTCCTCAGTTTTGTCTTGACTTAATGTTGTTTTTTCAGCTCTGTGCCTTCACATGGAAATCATTTGTTTTATTTGTGTTTCTGTCGTTACTGTTTACTTAAATACTTACCTAGCTTAGCTTTAACACTCTCCTGTTGATTTTGCATGCAGTGTATGAGAATAGTGAAGTCCTGCGTATAAATGGTTGTAAAAATGCAAGGTGTAGAGTCAGTTTTAGCATCATGTGTGACCATGACTCTGACATCTTAGACTTTTGCATTCATGGTTGTGAATCACAGAGGTTAACCCCTCTTCCTTAGTCAAAAAGTTAGTTAGTTGCTCAGATCAGTTGTGTGACTCCTCTCGCCAAGTGACAGCTGGGACTGGCTCCAGCCTCCCTGATTCTGAAACAGATAATCAGTTCAGGTGAAAGATGAATGGATGGATGGATGGATGGATAAGACATCCATCAGTGCAAAAGTCTCAAATGTAGATATGATAAACACATGATGATCTCAAACTAGAACTTAGTGAAGCTCACATTAATCACATTAATCACATTTGAACCAAATTATTTGTTGTTGTGCTTCCTAGTTGTTGATTGGTTGCTAGACTAACCTGTTACCTCTAACCTTTATACCCACTTCCTGGCCCCTTGACCCTGCCTCACAGAGGAAGCCTCCCTCAACCCCTCAGTCTCTAGTGCCTTGCCTCCAGGTAACACACGGCTCACGTGGAAATCAGTTTTTCCTTTCCTTTGTTGTTTTTCAGTTTTTTTATTATTATTATTATTATTTTTTGTCTTCTCAAATTTCACCTTTTTTCTTATATGTTTCATATTTATGTCATAATACTGTTAATGTTTTTTGTTTTTTTTGCTGTTTTATTTTGTGCCAAAGATTATCTTTGCATCCATGCTTGTCTGACATACTGTATAATGAAGTTTTTTACCACGGAATGAATTTGTGTACGCATGCACCAAAATCTATTCTGTTTGGTTGTTTAATCTCTTATTTAGTCTTAAACGGTTTGTTCAGGTTGTTCAGATTAGGTTTTAAGATAAATGGAAGTTAGATTTTTTAGCGCCCTGTCAGTTTGTAACAGCGCGTTAAGTGCATTATTATTTGTTGATCGTTTTAGAGGATCATTTCCCTCTATTTCTTAATATTCTCTTCTTTTTTATTCATTTACAATTTCCTGATCAGTTAAGGAAGATTCAAAGTTCACCTGTCTTTTAAAACACTTTAAATCTAAAAGTGTTTAAGCTGTTTTAATTTAGTAATCTTCCATATCCATCAGATGAGACTGAAGCACTGATAAATAGAATCGATAACTGCACAGTGAGAGTGTCTGCAGCATGCAGCATGCTTGTTCCTGTGTACTTTATTTCTTTGTAAAGTAGTCAGTAGTATGTTGAGGTTTGTTCCTGTTTGTCTGCAGACCGTCCAGATCCTCCCTTTGAACTGGATCTGTCCGACCCAGCAGCACGCAGCGTTCGACTCACTTGGATCCCTGGGAATGACCATAGGAGCCCAGTCATACGTGAGTATACATGCACTTGCACACTAGTTGGACCGTCCCTGCAGTCTCACAGAAAAAGAAAATGTTTGAATTGGATCATTAACTATGAAAATTCAAAATATAAGTTCCACCTGGGGAAAAAAGGAGTTTAAACTGTCTCCCTTCGCAAGGTTCAGTGACTAATGCAATCAGCTTTATGATAATATGAGATCATTACTGTGTGCATAGCAGAGAAGTGGTGCTGTTAGACTAATCTGAGTTCTTTTACAGTAAAACAGCATATATCCTCTTAAATTTGATGAACATTTTGCTTGATATAAAAGACACAGTGTCTGTTTTGGGGGGGCTCCAAGAGGGAAAAGTATTTTATCCGTTCCTTTGTGAAGACCTTCATTTTGTTCATAAATGTGTACTTCGAGTGCAGATGTGTAGCTCATTGTAGTATCATTTTTTTAGCACATTTAAATCAAACATTCATGAGACATTGTTCCCCTGCTTATAATGCTTCACATCAATTGCTACAAGTTGCTATGACTACTCATAATCATTCATAAGGATTGTTTGAAATTCTTATAAATGCATTTATAAGGCGTCTCAAATGCACTTATAATGAATCGTAGGTGATGGGTGTATGTAAGTGTTACTCAGTATGTATTCATCTATCTAGGATGAAAAGTTGCTCCACTGGTCTGGGCCACCTTGTTATATACCCAGCATTCTTTGCACAGTGAAGCATTTGCTTATTGCTTGAAGTACCATCTTTTTGAGAAAAAACTGTAACTCAATAAAATAAAATCTCTTGCATTTTCATGGAAGAACACAGGGGCTGGGCGATATGGCCTCAAATCATTATCACGATATATTGAGCAGTTCACCTCGATAAATGCTGCTCACCCCCTCCCACATTAACTTTGTCTACTTCAGCCGCCCCTCTAGCTTCTACAACTTTTGAACCGTCCTCCATCTCCTCACCTGTCTTTCCCCCTTTGTTACAGACTGGATGGGATGGAGTCTAACATAGGACATGAGTCCATAGCCTACGACCATAACCAACTTTTATTTATTTATTTATTTGACACCAAACATACGTTTATGGACAAAATGACATCGGGTGTAAATCAAGGTTGTCATCTCCTCGCATAGCAGCCAAATGAATCATGCAGGAGAAATAAGAGAGTAAATGCAAACTAAAAAGGTTAAGAGTTTGTCTTTGGTCCTCATGCTCAGGCAGGCTGAAATATCTGAAGTAATAGTGCTGCATTTATAATCCATCAGAGGAATAGGATTAGGGGGTCTATAACTCATTAAGAAATAATTATAATGTGTATTTTTAGAAAGGCTTGTAAAATTAATTCTGCAGAGTCATTAAGAGGTGGAGACGAGGGACTAAATAGAAGTATAACAGAAGCAGGCAGAGCTGACCTGAAACCTAAAGCCTGCTGAACACATCACCCTTCCAGTGATTCAACAAAAAAGAATTTGTGTTTTTTTTTTGTAAAGCCTAGTTGTGTTTGTTCCTGCAGAGTTCCTGGTCCAGTTTGAGGAGGACCACTGGGACCCAGGCAGGTGGCAGAACTTGTCATCTTATCCTGGAGACCTCAACTCAGTCATCCTGCAGCTCTCCCCATTTGTCAACTATCAGTTCAGGGTCATCGCCATCAACTCTGTGGGTCAGAGTGAGCCCAGCCGCCCCTCGCCTCGATATCAGACCAGCGTAGCAGGTGAGGAGCACACACACACACACACAAACACAAACACGACCACACACTCTAAAATCATACAGTGTGTAACTGAAAACAACAAAGAGAAACACTTAGTCAGCGTTGTAAAAATAGCTCAGGTGTTTTTGAAGTGGTTCGTGATTAATTTTGGAATAAAACTGCAGCAGTGTTTCTCAATCTGGACTTTGTTGTTGTGGATTTTATTTGATGTAAGTGTTTTTGGTGTTGTGTTAAAAAAATAGCCCCAGATGCCATTCCCAGAGGCCTTCGAGGGTGGGGCTCCAAGAAGGACAACATGGAGATTACTTGGGAGGTGAGACACGTGCAACATACAATTTTTTAATGTAAAATGCAGTGGCTATTACTTCTGTTACAATGTGACGAATTCATTTAGCAGATGTTTTTATCCAAAGCGACACAAGCAAATATGTAGACAACAGGAAACAGATCAGTTAGAGCCACAAATGATGATATACTAATCATCATTTATAAGCAAAACTATATTAGTATTATAGGAAAGATAACCATGTAAACTGTCATGACATAATATTTTGCCTTTCTTTTTGTTTTGTTTTTTCTGAGCAAGAGAAAATATCAGAAGGCTACACCTCTAATGGTGAAACTGTGGGCATGATCTGTATATCGTAATAAATATGCAGAAATGAAAACAGAGCGCCACCCTTTGATTATCATTTTTTACTTTTTTTTACAGTTCATAATAGTATAAAAACAAGAAAGATTGCAATAAGAAATCCACATGTTGATATGGGACCTCCACTCTGATATACCACCCTGAACATTTATAGTGGTATATCATATAGTATGCTATAGTTTGTCCACAGTGGGAGGGAAAGACAACACAAGCTCCCTCTGGCTGTTTTGAGTCTAATTAATTCCTCAATTTTTCTTCATTATTTTCTACAGCTGTAAAAAATTCTTATTTCTGTTTTATTTTTAGCCTCTGCTCGACCTAGAGAGGAATGGCCCAAACCTGCACTACATGGTGTGGTGGAGAAGGAAGGATTCAGGGGAGGAGTGGAATAACGTGACCACTGTGGAGTCCAAATATGTCGTTGAAAACACAGAAACCTATGTGCCTTATGAGATCAAAATTCAGAGCAGGAATGAGTTCGGACCAGGGCCCGAGTCTAACATTGTCATTGGTTACTCTGGAGAGGACAGTGAGTAGATGCAGACAACAAATCAGTCTCTGAATGAAATTGTTGAGTACATTTGTTTGGTACGAATTGTTGTTTTTTTACATTTTTAAACCAGTTCAGTTATTCACATGTATGTCTTTTTTTACTGTGTTTAGAGCCCACAGATGCTCCAACTGAGCTGCGCGTTTCAAAAGTGGACAGCACCAAAGTGACCGTCCACTGGAAGTCTGTGGACGTGAACTCAGTCCTGGGAGAGTTCAAAGAGTACAGAGTAAGACTGGCTCTAATAAAAACTGTCTGCAGAGTTGGTCTAAAAATAGATCAGAGTTTTGAGATACTGACAGATGATTTTCTGTCTCATCTCTGTTTTTCTTTAACTCCCCTTCCCTACTCTCCCAGCTGTATTACTGGCGTGAGTCCAGTCTGGTTCCTGGTCTGGTGGTCAGTAAGGAGAAGAAGACCAAAGGTTTTTACAGCACTGTAGAGGAGCCATCCAGCATCCTCGGCGACCTGGTGCCCTTCTCTCAGTACAAGATGTTCATGGTCGTGGCCAACAGCCGATTTGAGGGTCCACCCAGCAACACGGTGGAGTTCACCACCAAGGAGGGAGGTGAGGAGGCAGCCTTGCAGATTAATGGTTCAGATGTAGAACCTGTCTAAAGGGTGGAGGGCATGCACATAGTCTGAGATGGCAGGATAATACAGAAAACCTGCAAAATCTTGTTATAGTAGGTTGTTTTTGGACCTTAAAGTCTTGCAACATACAAAGTGTTGAAAGCACAGTCAAAGAATCATTTTTTGGTGCCATTAGAGGAGATGTCCTACATGGAGCTTGAGAGCATCTAGGGGCCATTTGTGGTACTGCAGCAGAACAAGCCTTAAGGCAAAATCAACACTGATGTCTCTCTCTGCTTCTCCGTTACATTTTCTTTTCTTTTAAATTTGTCTTTTCGCAGTGCCGGATGCCCCAAAGTTCTTCAGAATTAACCGCAGAGGCTTTGACACCATCCAGCTGGAGTGGGACAAACCCCTCGAGCCCAACGGCATCCTGATTGGATACCAGCTGAGGTACCAAACAGGTGAGCTGCTCCGACTTGTCAAACCCTTGAACCCCGATAATTAAACACAGTCAGGATATATATACATAGTGTCAAATTTTCACTTTATTTAGTGAGAAGCATTTGTGTATATTCTGTGTGTTTAAAGTTTGTGCTTCTGTGCCAGAACTAGTGGTTTTCAGAGGTGAAGGTCAATTAGAATCTGATCTCTGGGGAATGCCTTAAGGGAAAATCCCACAATGTACCAGAAATTGTCACCCAAACTCAAGATGGGACTAATTTTGAAATGTCAGGTTCAAAGGCCACTGTGACCCCTGTGCAAACTTCTATTACTTATTCATGCACAATTTTGAGCCTAACTTTATATGAAGTTTTTCACAGATAAGAAGTCACAAAGTGCTTCACATGGACAGAAAGTAAAATTTGAAAATAAACAGTGAGGTGGTCACAAGAGCCACAGATATAAGGATGTAATAGTTTCAAACACAATAAACAATAACCTTCACTGTGACAAAAACCTGGAGAAAAGTCGTGTCAACCATTTTAATCCCCCAACACAAACGTCATTATGCCTGTTGACATCAGACACTGTTTTGTACTCAGACTGAACTCTGGTTGGTCTGTGGTTGAAGTTTGGCTACTAAACGCTCATCATTCAGAGATTTTCTAAAATCACTAACCTGTCTCTTTTGTGTGACTCTCTTTTCAATAGTCAATGGTTCCAGGGCGGGTCGTCCACAGTTGGAGACGTTTTTGCCTAACGTGACAACATTCACCCTTCGCCTGCCAGACCGATCAACCCGCTACAGGTTCTACCTTTCGGCGCTCACACAGGTGGGATCAGGGGAGTTCTTTGCAGAGGAGTCTCCACACTTCGCCAATGAAGGTGAGTGTTTCTACATCTGGACGTCCGTTTGCCCGAAAGTTTCACATTCCTTTCTTTCAAATCATTTTTAATTTTTTTTTGTTTTAAATGAAAAATTGCATCTAATTGACACTGAATCAGCAAAAGGAAACACTGTAAACTCATTGTCACTGACTCAACTGAGCTTCCAGCCAACATAGAACAATAATAGAGGTGGATCTGAGGTCGGCTTTTAGCTCAGGGCCAACAGGTAAAATGTCCCCCTGTCAGCCACTGTGACACATCCTGTCCTTGACTTACAGCCAGGTTGGTTTGATTTGTCTACAGTGAGCCTGTTTGGTTTTTGTGAATTACTGTGAGGACCTGAGATAGTTACTGTTTTATCAAATCACTCATCAAAAGCCTGAAATTACGTGGTGGCCACATGATCCCAAACTGGACTGGCTCTTTAAATTAGATGTATTTCAAATTGCTAGTTTTATCTCAAAGGCCTCGTAAAGAGGACAAAATGATGTCTTTAATTAATTACTGTTTGTGCGTCAGTGTGTACTCTTTTTCATTTTCTTCTTTTGTTTTATAAGATTGTCCTGTTTTGCGCTCTGACCCTGGATTTTATGAGCTCACGGTGTGATGTAAGCCCATGTGGGCTGGGCATAGAAATATGTGTTTGGTACAGCAGTAGAATAAAAACGTCAAACTGTATGAAAAACAGATGCACATTCAAAGTAAGGGAGGATTAAGTCCTCAAAGAACAACAGGCCTCTTTTTCAGTAGTTGGATGAAGAAATGAATGATCTGACAGATGGTATTAAAGGGCTATCAACACAAAATCCAAACCTATTGTGGTGTCTAGTCGTGAAGACAGCATGTTGTTTATATTTAGGTTTACTACTTATATTTATCTTAGGTTTTCAAACGGTATGTGATTTATGTTATCCTTCAAAGTCGCTCAATAATTCATCATTGGGGCTTGAGGAGCAGAACTAAAGACCTGGACAGAGGCAGGTATCTCATTAATTGGGCAGATTACACTCTTCAGTATCTCAGTTAAAACATGTGAATGTCTCTTATCCAACCTGTCAGCTGCTTGTGTTGTTGTTGTCCTTCTTATACCTCTTCCCCCTCTCTCCTGTCTCTCTTTCTTTCTTTCTTTTGTCGGCAGAAAACTTTACTGACACTACAGGGCTAGGTAATGGGGAATGAGAAGCGCAGTTTGTCTGCCTGTCGCCTTTATTCACCACCATCCTCCATGTCTGTCTCTTTAACTGTCCATCTTTGGCAGCAGTGCAGTCCACCTTTGTTAATATCGTATTTTACATGACCTCTGATCCAAATTAGCCGTTGAAAGTATGAAAATCTAAGAAAACCCTCCTGAAAAAGCTCTCGGATGGATCAGAAACTCATTTTCTGTGTTGGTGAAGGAGTTGGTGAAAAACAGCATTTGGTGTGAAGTGAGTCAGGTTGTTTGATTCAGACTACAGCTGTGAATCTAAATTTTCAGCTACACTCTATGGTTTACATCTTTACACATAAATCTGGTGATGGATTCTGTGATAGCTTCCAGTCCTCCGTGAGTCTTAAGTAGGTGACCATACATCCTCTTTTACCCGTACATGTCCTCTTTTTGGAGGGAGGGCTGTCTGGCCTTTGCCGGGGGAGTTTATAAAATCCTTCAAATGGCCGGGGTTTTGTGTTTATATTGCATGGACTCACTGAGTCAGAAGCGCGTAAAAAATGCTCAACCCAACACGCGTGGCTCCATGACTCCACCCCGCATAGTCAAGAGGGTCCTCTTTTTGGGGATTCAGAATGTGGTCACCCTAGTCTTAAGCAAAGATTTTGATGCTGTGGTGGTTGATGGTAGGAACATGCCACCTTGATATATGAGTGGAAAGGTTGGTTATGTTGTCTGTGCATTAAACTTCACCTCTGCATACTCTGCAAACAGCTATTGATTTATAAAGGAAGCCTCCGTTTCACTTCAAACTGGAGGATTTATTAATTTCTCCTTTGTCTTGACTTGTATGGTTTAGTTTTCTCCCTACAAACTGATCTGCCTGGGTTTTTATTGTTGGACTGAACTGCTGTCTGCACTGTTTTTTTTTCTGTCTTCTTTTCTCATCATTGCATCTGCCTGTCTGTCTCTTTTGACCCTTCCACCTTCCCTCCGTATATGAAGCTGTCCTCTGTCTGCAGCTTCATGCTGTCAGGGATTGAAGATGCTCATTCAACATGTTCAGACCTTTATCATCTCTTTATGATTCTTAAACATAGTAAATCAAATGTTACATGAAACTAAAATCAGTTACCTTGCAGATTGTTAATCTTTAGTGTTATATTCTTCCATACAATCCCTCTTTGCTGTTCGCATGTTGACCTTTGACCTCTGATTTCCAAAGCAATCCCTGATGGTGCACTTTTTTTATCGGGCTACCTCACAGCATCACTGCTTTGTCCTGTCTGCTACAAACATCTGAGCAACTTCTGTCTCTCATTCATTCACAACGAGTACAACGTCATGATGCTGCTGCTGCTGTTTCGGGTGTGTGTGTGTGTGATGAGAGGAAAACACGTCCATGCATCAGAATGTGGAGACGAGAAACATTTTGATGAATGCTGCAGTGTGATTTGGATGATGGATTTGCGATTGGTTAGCACACTCACACTGGCTTGATCGTCTTGCTTCTGAGCTGTAATGTCACTCTGTCATCTTCGTCCATCGCTCCTGTTCACCCAGCCACTTGTGCACATAGTGCTGGGTAGCACAGGTAAGGTGATTCGAAGCTTTGGGCCGACCTAGCCTGCCTCACCGGGCTGAAACTGCTCCTAAACATGCCGATGTTTCTATCATCTGTCTGACTTTTTGTTCCTCCCACACGATGGTTTTTGAGGGCATGCTTGGCATCGAGCCTGCTGATACAAGCATGCTGGCAGAAGGGTCTGGTTGTTGAGGGGTTGGATTGTAGCACAAGGGGAGATGTTTCATGTGCATGGGGGGTTTCAGCCGGGGGGACCCTGTCACTGGCTGGAGATGACCTGAACTTCAAGGTACAGTAAGAATGAAGCTTTAAAAGAGGAAAGGATGTTCTGCTTTCAGCCTAAGTGGGGGATAACCCTCACAAGGGGGCGCTATTGTGTCACAGATCAAGTTCTCTTTCAATCGGATTTGTAAAGGCGGTAAAATCCTAAAGTTTGCTTTAGATACTGTTCCCACAAACCCATCAGTACCTGCTTTTAGGTGAATCTGCATCATTATCTAACAAAACTAAAAACAAATTCATTGCACTAAAACTACAAGCAGACATCCAGGAAGTAAAATATCAGTTTAAATTACTAAAGACTACTTTCAATCAATTCTTGAGCAGAAACGGAAACTGTCAGAGCTTCTTGTACCTCCATCTACGCCACCATATTTCCAATCTTAAGGAAAATTTCATCAGATCTACAGGCTGGAGGTCTCAATTTGACCTTCTGGTGTCAGCGAGTTGTTGGTCGATCCGTCTGAGATCACTGGAGAAACTGAACTGAACATTTTGATTGTTTTTCTTCTGACGGTGTGAATAAAGTTGTTGATGTTGACGGTGCTAAGAACTGCTGCTTTATGAGTAACTCATTGTGTGTGACACAGCTCGGATCATCCACCTCATCTGGTGTGTGTCAGTGATGTTTCTCCCTCCGTGTTGTTAACCCTTTGCTCTCTCCCGCCTCCTCCCATTGTAGTCGAGCTTACCGACGCCTCCTTGGGTTCAGAGTTCACCCCTACTCCTCCTCCTCCTACTCCCGCTCCACATCCTCCTACTACCATCGCTCCTACAACCATTAGCACTTCAACTTCTACAACTACGACTACGACTACTCCTTCCACCACGACCACCACCAGTACTACTACTACAACCGAGGCGACCACGACCACCGCACCTCCTGTGCTGGTCACCACCAAGCGTACAGATCAGAATGTGTTGGGTACATGCTGTTGTCCCGTTTTGGTTTCCTCTGTCTTTCTTACGATGTAGCCAACCAACGATGGTACTTCTTTCATATTCAAGTACTTCTCCCACCTGACGAAACAGGAAACTACATCAGGGCTGCATTCCAATAAGCTGTGCTGTACCTGCTGTACCAAAAGCAGGGATTTACTTCAGAATATTGGGATGTAGCCAGAAAACAACCTCCTGGTCAGGAAGTGAGAGCCCAAATATTTTATTTATTGATAAAGATGTTTGTTTCTTCAGAGTTCTCTAAAAGAGCAGCCTTCAACACTTAGGAATGATGATATAAGTAGGCCATTTTTGTGATTTAAGTCATCATTTTCTCAGTTTTTATGTTTATACAGCTTTAATATCCTCTCTAAATCAGAAGTAGACATTTCTACCAAGTGTTTTATAAATCAGAAAGACTTTCAGACTCTCCTCTGATCGGATTTCTTGTTGATCAACATTTCAAATGTACTTTTGATTTTGAACTGACCTTGACCGGGATCACTCCCTTAGCCATCCATAGAGCCAGCGCCATGTTTAGGTCTAAGTGGAGCCCCATGTGAGGTTGTTGTAACTGTGCCCTCTCTGCCCCTTGCCCCCTGACCTTTAACCCTTTTACCCCTGACCCCTCACCCCCTTGTGTAGTGGCCCCTGGGCGGGACATCTGGAATCTGACGGTGCAGCCTAACAGTGACTACGCTAACGTCAGCTGGAGACACAACTTCCCGGCCGGCAGCAGCGAGTTTGTGCTAGAGCTTACACTGGACAGTAAGAGACCAGACCAAGTCCAGCTTGACCTAAAGCTATGTCTGAACCTAAAAAAAAAGCCATATCTGAGCCTGAAACGACCACAGAGTGCACAGAGACAGATACAAAAGGCCATCAGTCCAGAGAGTGACCAACACACCTGTATAAAAAAAGTCTAAAATTACAGTATCAGGAAAAGGAAAATCTATTCAGAGATATCTCCAGCTGTGTCTTGAATTCAGAGGTTAACAGCTTTAAATTTTTCATGGTAACATTACACTTTCTTTATCTTTTAAAATCACTATAAGCCAAATGATTTAAGCAGATTATTTTGTTGCAACAAAGAGAGAGTCAACGAAAGCTCTGGAGCTCTACACTGGGTTGGATCAGCTGTGCCTAAGTTCAAATGTAGTTTGGTTTGAGAGTAATTTATGATTTAGGATGACGTTAACACTCCTCTGATGTTTTTGGTTAAGCCAGTTAGGCCTGAGTTGGTTTTAAAGTCCTCCTTAAATACTGGTTGTCTTAGCGCATGATTTTTAAAAATGGGATAACAAGGAAGAGGACGAGGAGAAGAGAGTTTAACCTGCTGTTTTATGAAGGCCGTATTAAATATATCATAGTTGGTGCACCACTCGATGATAATTAACACCTTATCATCATGCTTTGTCATATTTCACAGCCCTTTCCACTACTTTTAGTCAAGCGATGAGAGTAAAGTAGAGATAATTTCAGCTGTTCGCCTGTTTAGAGGCAGTCCTGCATAAAGGTCCTTACTGTAGACTGTATATACTATAGACAACTTGGTTCCGCCTACCGCCTGTATACGGATTTGAAGCCAAAAAGCTCGCGGTATTTCCGGGCGAAGTGAAAAAGCGAGACGAAATGCGAAAATATTCGCCGGTCCGAAAAACACTTTCGCTTATACACACCGGGCGACCACTCTGTGGTACACACTCTCTTCCATCGTTGCTCTTGGTGCCAGTGGTGGTGTGTGTCGTGTGAACTGCAGCCGTATGGATCTGTGACGTCGTCAACAACATGACTTTTGATTGGCCAGAGGTCTAGCAGGTCCAGATATTCGCCTGCGAATCTCCGAAAAATTCGACACAAGAGCAAGAAAAAATAAAAGACGCTTTTCGCCCCGCGGAAAATCGCCGCCGGTGTGGAAGCTTGCATTGACTTTATGCTGTTTTAAAAAAAAGGCGAATAAGGTGAATAATTCGCCTGGCGAATTCGCGCCTGATGTGTAAGGACCTTAGGAGTTAGCACAAGAAGAAAAACTTCTCTGATTGGCAACTGGAAGGGTAAACATCAGTTGTCTTCTTGAGTTGTCCTCATGGTACAACCAAACAAGGGTAAGACTTGTGTCACCACTGAACTAGTTTTCAAATATGGTTTAGTGTGGACTTCACAGTGTAACTCAAGACACAACTTAAACACAGCTGGTGCAACACGTCCCTGGAGCTCATTCAAAGAGCAGTTTAGTGTCTTTCAGCTCAGGTTTTTGGTCAGACACTGTTTTGATCAGTCCAGCAGCTTCGTGAATGTTAAAGAACAACCTGGTTAAGGAAACTTTAAAAAACGTGCATAATGCTGCAATTTTCTAAACTCTGACAACAACATTTTTTTAATTAGAAACTTTAGACCAGAGGTGTTCAGCGTTCAGAGTCATTAGGCATGATTGGATTTGAACTAAACAAAATCTCACTTTTAAGAACACTGCACCACCATGTTAGCATGCATTGATTCGAGGACAACCAATTCTGAGTCCTGTCCTGTATATTTGGACAAGCGATGGTCATGCTTTTCTTAATCTTTATCTTGTAAAACATGCCCAAACTTGGAGGATACAACTCTTTCAACAGTTGGTTAATTTAGTGATTTGGTTTATCTGTAAATGAGTGGCTGTTACTCTTAAATCTGATCTACTCTGATTCTGTTAAAATAGTGCTTTCCCAAAAGTTCTAATGAAGTGTGTCCTTGCTCACTAAATGTCATAACTACCTTATCGAGCACTTCTTAGGGAACCACCTAGAAAAAAGAAAAGGTTAGAGAGTAACGCAGAAATGGCACAAGTGAAATCAAAACTAAGAGTACTTTAGATTGAAAACGAAGCCAAACAGAAACAGATTGTTGGTGTTACGATTTCAAATGAAACTTGAAACATACCGTACCTTTTACCAGAGGTGACCTCCGACTGCAGCTGGAGCTGGTATTCTTGCTTTTGTTTTTTTTTTAATCACTCCTTTGATTTAATGATGTGATGATACTGTATTTATAGGCTGACAACATACCACAGTTTGTGTGTCTGTCTTCCTCTCTCGAAGTCTTACTGTCTCTCTTTTGTCCCTACATGTTGGAAATGCTGATCGTCACCATGTCACTAATAACCTCTTGTTCAGCGCACCATCTCAATGGTTTCTTTTCCACATGCTGCTTGGCTTTGAATGGCTCTGATTAGACGAGCACTGTGAACGGGCTGTTTGGGCTTGCTGTTTCACGTTTTTCAACCATCCACGCCTCCATAACCTCTCGCTTTTGCTTTGGGTCGACCACTCTTGCAGCCTGTTTCTACAAAACACATCTTCCCTCCTTTTCTGGGATTCAGAGCTGGTTGAGATTGGTCAGTCTGGTGTTTGGAGTTTCTCTGTTGTTGCTCTCTACCAATTCAACAGTCTGTGATCTTAAATGAAGGATGGAAAAAAAGGAGGGTGTATTTTCTTTGTATTTGGGACCTGGCTTTAACTCAAAATGATGTGTGAATGTAAAAGCAAGAGAGGACAGGATGACAGGAGGATGATGAAACTGATCAACCACACCTCTTCAGCTCTTTCCCCTTTTCTCTGAGGTTAAGCTTGACTCTGAAGAAAGAGTGGCATTGAGCCTCTGACTCTCATCCACCTTAGTTCATCATCCCTTCATCCTCTCTGTCACTGCCTTTGACTTAGAGTTTCTGCATGTCTGTAAGAGGAGGGTTTAGATACAGGGTGATGCTTTGGTAGCAAGAAAACCCTGTCATTGCAAAATTACAGCTGCTATTGATTTTGACTAGGGCTGCAACAAACGACTATTTTAATTGTCGACTAGTCACTGACTATTGAAATGATTAGTTGACTTAAATTTATCATTTTGCTTTGTCTGGGCTAAAGTGCTCCTAAACTTGGAGGTTTTTAAATGAGTTCTCGTAACTGCAGTACAGGACGCCGGCGCCGCCATGTTTACCCAACCCACCCTATCACTCGGCAGAGAAACTATTGCGCACGAGTGACTCTAGGCAGAGATTGTAATGAAGTAAGATGCCTCACTCCACTGGAAAAAACCTGTCTGGTAACAATGACAATGAATTCCATTGTCGGCTTTTTTCGTTATCGATTTTTGTCAACAACGCCGACTAATCATCGCAGCCCTAATTTTTACACTGTAATGCTACATACACTAGACTTTATTTTGTTCTTGCAGGACAGAAGTTGATGTTAAGTAGCTTGTTAGTGCTGTAAATAGGAGGGCACCTTGAACATTTAAGACCGTGTTCAATCAAAGACTTCTGATTTTTCAAAACAAAGCCAGTCAGTCTACTGGGACAACAGTTCCATAACCCAAATCCAATAGTTTGATAACGTGCACAGGCCATGGCATGAACATTACAAACAGCAAACACTTTACTATTAGAAAATACTATTTTAGTATTATTCATACCCAGATGGATTTATCAGGGGTCTCAGAATTGTGCGTAAATCACCTCTGAATCTTTCTTGCATCCAGCTAAAGTACTAATACTGTCGAATTGTGCAAAACTTAACACTGTGTATCTAAAAAGGAAGGCATGTCTTCTCTTTAGCCGGCGTTAGCTGTGATGTTTGGCTGGTTTCGGGACTCGTATTAACAGCATGGCTTTGGAATGAGTTCTGCTGGATAACATCAACCTGCTGAAAGGGTTGATAGCATGGTGCATGACGTCACCACCTCCTCTCACTGCACTCAGAGTCATGTTCATAGCTTGGCCATGTCATGACCGACACGTCTTTCAACCAGAAAGACGCAGAGTGTTGCCGCTGGTTTTTGTTTTTACCTTGTGGATAGAAGTGTGGAGCTGTGATCAACTGAGACCAACAATGCTTTGTCGCCCAAGATCTCAATGTTACCCAGTGAAAAAGCTTGATGACTACCTCCAATTCAATTTGATCAAATGATACTGATGTATGGAGAAGCTTTGGAGTGCAGGAGTTTGTCATCATTACTGTGTTGCACTCCTTTAGTTTCTCTCCAAGCCAACAAGTCCAGGTGAGGCCAACACGGGGGCTTGGTGAATTGTGCCAAGGATTATGTTCAGATTGGGTTTTTAGATGGGTTGGTGTTCGGACCAACTTAAGAGAAGTATAAGGAAACTAAAAACTGAAGGGCTTCACCAGGGGTGCCGCGGTAACCCCCAAAACAAAACACTGCGGTATTAACAAGTGAATTGTAGACAACCTCACAACATCATCTCTTTCAGTTCTCAGCCCAGTGAAAAATGAGAGTTGATAGTTGATAAAAAGTAACTCAACTATTCATCAATAGACAGACCTGTGCAAAAAGACTTCATATGTAGTACTGAGCCAATGAGAAATTTCCTCCCCCTGACAGCCCTAATCTTCACTGGTGTACAATACCTGACTGAGCCATATCGGACCAGTTAAACCAGTTCTAGGGATGCTTGAGACTCTGTGTTACAAACCTGACTGTTTTTACTTACAAGAAGCAAGAAACCAGAGACCTGTCCTGGATCTTGTTTTTCGAGGGTCTTCCTGGACCCACTCATGAATTACAAAAAAATGAGAGATCTGCAATTACAAGGTAGTAACTTGGGACTCATGTCTTAGGGGCAGATCTAGTTTGCAAACCATGAAACATCTAAGTTTACCCAATGTGTCACCATTTGGTGACACTGGGACTTTACTGGTCAAACCAGAGGAAACCAAAAGCTGTTATTAAGTCATCTGTGCTGGATGAAATAGATTTGGACCTCACCTGGATGTGCTGGCTCATTTTCTTTGAGGAGGTTAACATCTCTGACAGAAATGTAATCAGAAAATAACTGAACAATGTGTGCAAAGTAAACCAAACTTATTTATCGAGGCTGAAAGAAATAATCTGAATGATTGGGAAGGGCAATGCATTGTTATTGGTCTCAATTCACATCCCTGCTTTGACTCTGAGAAGAGTCCCTATGCAAAGCATTGAGATGCCAAGACCTTTTCCAGTAAGTTGTCACTGTGGGATGAGGGCTACACCTCCTGGAGTGTGATTGGCCGTTCTCTTGTGTCTCCAAGGCAACAAGACGGTGGTGAGAGTTATACCAGTGAAAGAAGTGCCCCCTATAAAAGTGGGGGATCTGATCGCAGGCGCCACGTACCATGTGAGGGTTTACTCCCATGAACTCAACAGCATCAGCAGCAAATCTGTCCCCTTTAAGACCAAACCAGGTGAGACCCCAACTGGCCAGGTGAAACCGGGGTGCCAGCCAGGTGGGCTAATCTGACTACAAGTCTGTCTGTTGTAATATCTGCAGTAACTCAGTCGAGGCTGGGTGAGTTATTATGGTTTGTTTTTTGATTCCATGCATGTCTGGACTCACTGCAACTGTCTACACGAGTCACATTCAACCTCAAAACTGGATTTTCTCCAAGTTAAGGGCATAAACGTTTCACTACAAGACAATGACCTTCATGGTTCTCTTCTTTATTAGCTTCTGTGGACATAATAAGTACCAGACAGCTACTCTCCATTTTGCTATTTATTCAAACATAATGCACATCGAGTGTTGCAATAAATGCTTCCTAATTCATTTTTCCAGCCTTGTATTGTGAATTGAGCCAGGAGTGCTGTTTTTAATGTTGACAAAGACAGAATTTGATGGTTTGTGAATAATCATGTAACCTCATTTGTAATTTAAAATAATGTGAAGGTCACGGGGAGGTATACTTGCTTTTGAACTGTGTGCTGACAACAAGCCTGGTGGTCCCTTCCCTCTTATCTCTAAAGTAGACAATGCTGCATCTGTCAAATTTCAATTGGTCTTACTTCAAGTTTTGTAGATGATGACTACTGAGGTTCTTTGCGATTTGTACTTGGAGGGACACTATTCTGAAACCTCAAACAGGGTCTCACAGACCGGTGAGCCTCTCCCATATCTTTACTTCCCACAGACTCAGCTCCCCTGGTCTGTCCTTTTCTTACGCAATCATGTTGCTCACTTGACTCACTTTTACTTACCTGAATTATTACAGGGGACATTTTTCAGTTAGTTTTGGTGTCCCTGTCCCAACTTTTGGAAACTTGTGGCTGTCATCAATTTTAAGATTTCCAGTTTCATTATTTGTTGTCTTTGCACTATTAGGTGATTTACAAACCATCAAAACCTTTCCTGACTTTTTTGCAGTTGAGGTTGTTCAGCCCACTAAACCTGCTGATATCAGGGATTCGCATATCGATTTCTGTTTTTTGTTGTATCGTTAGCTGTCATAGATAGCCATGCATCTTCAGTATGTCCACTGCTACACATGCTAAGCATCCTTGTTTTAACTTGCTGGCTAATGAACACTTGGACTCTACTAGTTTAATTACTTTCATGCAGTAACAACATTGTTTTGTTTGGTAATTGGTTAATGTTCAAATTTATTGCTGAAATCCTGAGATTTAATAAGTAGAAGCTGTTAACAGATTTCGCTCACGGATTGTTCTGAAATCTACTCGTCATATCGGATCGGCTGATTGGACACTTGATTTCACACCCCAAACTTCTGCATCTGACGTTCTTTGTGGAAAATTTGCATCATTATTATTCTCATGCGTGGGATTCTTTGAACAGCCTGGATATGAGCTCGGGTTTAAATAATTAGAGGTTGGTTTGACGATGTCGACTCTCTCTGCTGAGCGCTCTGGGTTTCTAAGCAGGTTGACTCACCTTGATGCAGAAAAACACTCACTTAGTTTCTGCTCTTCTTTTGTGTGTGTTTCTTGTGTGTCTCCAGCGTACATAGACCAGGTTGACATTGCCACCCAAGGCTGGTTCATTGGCTTGATGTGTGCCATCGCCCTCATCATTCTGATCCTCCTCATCGTGTGCTTCATCAAGAGGAGTCGTGGAGGCAAATATCCAGGTAAGGCCTGAAGCTCCAACACTGAACAAAACTATTTTCATTTCACTTTGAAAATTCATCATACTGATCTGCAGTATGTGATAAAACAACCATTAGATTCATGTTAATGTTTCCAGTTTCTATAATGTCTAGGTCACAGTTGCGTAACTGGTTGCGCAAAATATCTAGGTGGGTTCCTGTGTGTGGTACTTTAAAGAACTAACCGCTGTTGATGTGCAAAATTAAATACAGATTATAACCAAAGAGACAACATGTACTCGCACTGACATTTTACGACATCAGTTTTTTGTTATTTAACTGCTTTTAACTGCTGTTTATAAATATGCTTCAAATGACACTGTGTCCTAAATCCATACTACAGTATATATGGATGGCATAAAAAGTATTGAAGGTAGTTAAAAAGTACATATTTTGATATTTTAAATATTCTCTCTTTCTTCAGATCATTTTTGTCTGTGCAGCTTTGTATTTTGATGCAGTTTAAAGTTGCAGTACGATCCAGGAAAGTTTATAATCTCTTTTAAACCAGCATCAATTTAAAACCAGAAAAGCACTCGGAGAGCGCAGACCTCCGCCAAGCAGCTCATGTCCCCCCTTATATTGTGATTCACACCAAAACTTTTACTGTTACGTGTCTTTTATTAACTTTTATTTGTGTTTAAACTGGTATGTTCACTGTTCATAATGTTCCTAAAACAAGAAATGCCCTGACCCAGATTTGAACCCAGGACCTTCTTACTGTGAGGCGACAGTGCTAGCCACTACACCACTGTACCGCCCATTGGTTATCTTTCAACATTGAAAATTCCAATGACACCCTTATTTTTGTGTGTTCTGGATCACAGTATCCAGAATTTTGTCTGGATCAGGATCAACCTTTGACACCTCATAAAACTCATTAAGATCCTTTTGTGTAATTTTTTACTAAAGACTCTGGACATTTTTATAGAGTTAAATGCAAAAATTCCAAAATTTGCCCTATCTCACAATGATAAAGAATCCTTCAAAAAATTCCTGGATCCAGAAGGCGATCCGGATCACCACCAAAATGTAATGGGATCCTCCTGGGGCTGAGACGCACCTGTGGTGAAAATTTCAGATCAATCCGTTTGTTACTTTCTCCGTAAAGTTGCTAACAGACAAACAAACAAATAAACAAACAAACAAACAAACCAACAAAACAACAAACCAACGCTACCGAAAACATAACATGCCATCTGTTGTTGCTGAATTGCAGAATAAAGACGCTCACAGTTATTATTATACATACAGCATGTTTTATTGGATGGTGGGTATGGAGTTGGGACACAGTGTACGATAACAGTTGAATTAATAAAAGCTGAAGACAAATTAGTTTTTATGGAAACACTAAATGAGGACTAACACAAACCTTCATCTCCTCAATGTGTGGACTGCAGTGTGCATTAACTCTAACCATGACATAAGGTGGTTCTCTTCAAAACGCTGAAAAAAAGTATGTTTGCTCTCCTCTCCTCAGTCCGTGACAAAAAAGAACTCCCCTTGGATCCAGTAGATCAGAAAGACCAGGATGGATCCTTTGATTACCAGTAAGTATAATATAACAGACGGAATCACAACTTCTTTTTTTACAGCAGAGTCACTGTTTTTGGTGCTGGAAGGAAACACTTCTTAATAAATCAGGTTATAGAATAAAACACTTAATTAGTGTATCTTTCAGACTTTGGTTACAGCTATCAGGCAGAGACTATGAAAAACAGCTGTAGCATTGTGGATAGTTTGAGGACTTAGCAAGAGTGTCAAAAACATTTGACTGAGTTTTTAGTCAGTTCAAAGCGCCAGTTAAATAGAGAGTTTGTTGAAGAATATTCATTAAAACTTTCTTAATTAAGCTTCTTCCTAGCATTCCAGAAATTATGTGACTGAAATAGAGTATGATTCTGTAGAGAAGCTTAAAATCTAGAAGCAAATCTGAAAGTTTTTTTTTGCACTTGTATTGCAGTCTGTACCAGCTTTGTGCAGGCTTACGTCTCACCTGAGATAAACACAACCTGAAAGTAAATCTAAACGTCATCCACATCAATAGAAATAGTGAGATTCAAGCAGACATCATCAGCAGACGCCGCTTTGACCCAAATGCAATGTACTAGTATGGACATTTTACATTAAACGAAACAAGGCAGTCTTCCTGGCAACATGATGTCGCTCTCATGTTGCCAAAAACATGCTTAATAAAAAGTGTTTGATCTAGGATGGGCGCTGTAGCTTCAGTTTGGCACTCAGAGAGCTCCATTGTTGGGAGAAAATATTAGAAATCATAAATTTGCAACATCTGCTTAGACTTTAAAAAGCATTTTACTTTTCATTAACTGGTCTTGTTGTAAATCAGTTGCATTGTGGTGTGTAAGCACCAATATCACATGATTTGGTTAAAGAAAGAAGATGTTTAAGTTCCTGCCACCATCATCTAAGCAGAACTTTTGCTCTGTTCTTTCTTTGTAGGAGATTTCAGTCATACCAAAACAAAGTTAGAGGGCTACTCTTGGGGTCTCCTGGTCCTCTGACCGAGACCTTTTTTTTTAATTTTTTTTAAAGTAGGGAGTGAGAAACATTTATGCTGTTTGTATTGTAGCATGTGATTGTGCAGCTCATGATGGTAAGTGATCTTTCTTTTGCTCCTTGCAGGTCCAAATGATCTCTGTTGCTTCATTTTTCCCAATGAAGCACCAGCCTGTCGTTCTTTATCTGTCCTCTTTTTCTAAAAACATGTTGACTAATCTCTTTACCTATATGTTATAACTGAGCCGTCTAAGAGTGGTGGTAAATCTTTAACCTTTAATTCAAGACCATAGAAGTGAATGTAGCAACCCAATGTTACCAACTGGTTTTTAAAACCCCATTTTTTGAAATCTAGTATTGGTTTCCGAAACCAGAGGCGACAATATTTAGACTTGGATATCTTATGAAAACATTTCAACCATGGCCCAGAGTTGTTGATTTAACTCCTAATTATACCAAAGTTAGCATTGTGCAGGTACACAGTGAACATCATGCCGCACTGTAGAAGAATTGAGGACTTCACTATTAAAAGAAATTCATTAGGAACAATTTTACTGAGGTAACAGGCCACATCCCCATGTTGGCCGTTTTCTAATATCATCATGCTCAAGGGGGGAACTCAAACATTGTTTTCATATTAAAATCGTGTTGTTGACGAGTTAACATGATGTAAAAATAGGCACCAACACAAACTATAACTTCCCCAGTCCCATAGTCTTCTATTATGTTTTGCATGCCGAAAAATGTGTCTTCCCAATCACATTTATCATTTGTAAACACAAAAGTAGCCAAACACTGAAGTTGGTTAACAGTTTGTTTAAATGTTTTTAACCTGAAGCTCCGTTGGGAGGTTTTTGACTATGAAACAGGCTGAAAATAACAGTAACAGCTCAAAACGACCTACAGAGGCAAACAAGGCCCTCAATGACAGGAACGACTATTCTTACGAATCAATTTCTGACACCTTTAGACACCTTTTACAAAGAAAATATTCTCGTAGAGTTATACATTTCACTGCTAAAAGGCACCTTGTGTCAGACAACGCTGTTTGCACATGTGCTGGACAAATGTAGTAAAGATGTAGGGGCTCTCCTTTTGTCCACAGGTGGAGCTTTAAGATATCTGATGGAGTATTAGGGCCACATTAAAAAAAAGGGAAGACTAAGATCTAAGTCGTTAACTTATGAGAATGAAGTCAAAATAAACTTTACTCAACTTTATTCTCATAGGTTAACAACTTTAATCTCAAAGTCTTGAATCTTTTTTTTTTCTTAATGCAGCCCTAATACTCCATCTTAAAGATACAGCCCGATCCTATCTTCCACTACCTATTTCCTTTGTAATAATCAATGGAGGAGCTGTGAAGTGACTAGTTTGTCAGATGATACATCTTACAATCTGAGACACGGCAGTGAGACATGACAACAATATTTGAGCTCCTCTCCCTGAGGGAGATATCTACAATTTGATCTCAAAGACGGCTAATATTTTCTGTTCATTTGCTGCCAGTGGAGTCGCCCCCTGCTGGCCTTTTAACACACTGCAGGTTTGAGGCTAAGTTCACTTCTTACAGACAGTTTGTGTCATTGACACTCTTAATACCCTTTCAGTGTTTTTTTTTTATCATATTATCTTATATAATCAACTTGGATCCTATTGATAAAGAGGCAACAGTATAAACAATATATCGATATATCAGTGGATCCTTTTATAGTCCGTATATTTTTGTTATATGTATCCAAAGCCACAGGGAATGTACATACAGCCTGTATTTTATAGCTTTATAGTTTGCTTTGCCTTTGCTTAAGTAGAAAATGACATAAACAGGGTAATTTTAGATCAGGCGTGATCAGCCGTATCACCGCCTGAGTGGGGCTGTGCTTAACATGGTGTGACCAATCCCTCTCCTGTTTGTGCTCCTGCTTGAATTTTCTCACCAATAATGACTCTAACTTTTACACCCACCCCAGCTCTCTTTCAGGGTCATTTCTTTCCTCTGTCTCTGACCCGACTCTGTCCCTCAAGTCCACTCAGTGTGTTTCTGTTTGTGTGTTTGTGTGTGCATGCAGGATTTACATGCATGTAACATGTAGAGCTGGTGTCCTCCTTCCTTCTTCTTTCTTCTACACTCCCTCTCTCTCTCTTGCTGTCTCCCCTGATTCCTCACATCTCGTTCCTCTCTTTCCCCCACGCTGAAATGGGTCGTCTGTACCTGACAGGAACGAAAACGAAAACGAGAACAGGTACTTTGGTCTCGGCACGGCATCTCTTTCGGCCTGCGCATGTCTGGGGAGCAGATGTTTCTTCTGAGCAGGGGGAAACATGGGGAAGTGGATAAGGTGGAGCTTATTTGGGGGGATTTAATGGAACTATATAGTTTTAGTCAAGTTTTTGTCTTATTGATCAGTCATCCTTTGGCCTGCAGTTGTTTTTAAGCACTATTTGAAAAATAACATACAGTAGAAAGAGGAAATACTACTTTGTGGTTTAGGACGTTCAACAAAGAGAGGAACAGTTCCTCTGTCGGTGTCAAACTGTGCTTTTAATAATTTATCAACCTGTCAGTCCATTTTTGTACAGCACAAACTCATCACAAAACTTTTTCAGGACACTTTAAAAAACATTTTTAGATTGTACTACACATATTGTTTAAACAGCAATCCAGTATGAGCAAATGAGCAAGCAGTAGGGCTGGGCGATATGGGAAAAAGTCTATCACGATGTATTTTTTCATATCAGTCGATATCAATATATATCAAAATATTAAAAAAAAACACTTGTCAATCTGAAATGTTGCCTGTTACTCTTAAATAAAATTTAATAGTGCTTATTGGTAGCATGTTTGCAATACAATAAGCTACTGCATTCTGTCTCCTCAACGTTTTGTCATAAGGCGTTGCGCCAGAGAAAGCAGAATGGTCGGCTGCATAGGCGCCATGGGCTCCTTGCTCCACTCAAGGTTTGTAACCTTTTGCGTTGCGCGTTTTCTCTCGTTTTCTCTTTTTCTCACTGACAGTGCTGTCGGCTTCACATGTTAAAGTGCTATGGTTGCGTGTAGCTGCAGCCTGCTTCTGCTGTTTAGTACTTGGTTCTAATTCAGCACGGTTGGTTCAGCGTAAAGCGGACCCGGAGCAACTCTCCTTTTCATTGGCTGTTGGTATACTCGACCAAAACATGGCAGAACGCCGACTATCAAAAAGCATATTGACCAAGTTTTATATTGATATCAAGGGAAATTAATTTTCGATATATATTATTATCATTTTATCGCCCAGCCCTAGCAAGCAGTTGGCAGCAGTGACGAGAAAAAAATATTTTTTTTCAACAAGCAAAAACCTTCAACAGCACCTCATGTTAAAAAGCCAGAAAGAGAGAGAGAGATAGATGGATAGAGGCAACCACCAACTCCCCAAAAATAACAAAAACTAACGGCCGATTAGCACCAACAGATCAAAGTGACTCTGATACGAGTTTATTGACATTTAAGAAAGTATCTGCAGCCAGGCCTACAGGAAATATAAAGAGGATGATCAAGTGTTAAGGGCGAAGAGCAGGGCAACATGTTTGGCACAGTTTGACACCCTGGAAGATCTGGTTAAAAGCAACAACAGTGGAGAAGAGTTTTAGGAAAAGAGCTTTTGTCTCTTTTCAAAAGACATTTAGTGAATAGAGTTTGCAGGAAAAGATATTTACCATCATAAAAACACTTTCCTGCATGGGAGTTATAGTTTAGTTTCCGAAGATCTATTGCAACAGGGACCTTTATATCCGTCGTCTGCCATCAGCATTGTAAAAGCTAAATGCTGAGACCAACATCGCTTTAAAGAAGTCAGAAGGGGCAAGAAACACAAGCACTCAGATTCTCAATGAAATCAATCCACCTCAGTTTACAGACCCACTCTGATGCAACCAAGACCTGCCACATTTACTGTAGTTGAGTGAATAGTTTTGTTTTCAGGGTAACTAAGTGTCATTATTATTATTATGAGTAAATGAGCTTATGTTGTACTGACACATGACTCTGGAGAAACTGCTGCTTTATTTATAACCCAAACTTTATGCACAGTAAGATTTTGCACAGCTCGACATTATCATTGAGAACATCTGATGGTTCAGTGTGTTTATAAGGACAAATAGGATATTAGAGTTTGTCTGATTGTCTGACTGCTTGTGTTTTCCTGCCTTTTGAAACTTCGCTTCAGCCTTACGAGCTGCTGCGGTTCTGCACCGACACATGCTATGCTGCTAGTTTATCATAAGGAAACTAACAAAAAGGGAGAGGGACTGACTTTATTTGAAGCCTCAACCTCTACGTTTTATATCATTAGGTTCATGATGATATAATTGACCTCTACTCTCAGCAATAATGTACAGAAGTTGTTCCTCATGTCACCAGCAATATAAGATCTTTTCTTTCTGTGTCTGTTTATTTAGCATGTGGTGTTATCCATCTGTCTCATGACTGTGTTTCTCTCTCTACCCACTCCACTCTGTGTCTGTGTCCTTTTTCTTTGTATCGATTTTTTTTTTTCCCTCAATGGTCCAAAGGTCTCTGGAAAGGTATGAAAGGAGACACTCCTCCTGTTTCAACACCTGAATCTTTCATGCTGCTCTACGGAAATCTGAGCTTCTTGTTTCTTTTTTCTTTTGCCCCTTTCTTTTGAATTTAATTGATCAATGTTTGTCAGACCCATTCCACTAACTTCTAATAAGAAACAACTGAAAGTTATGCTATTAAAAAATTGTTTAACTCTGTTTTTAATTCTGTTTTAAAGACAGTGTAGCTGCAATCAAAGGTCTTCTATATGAAAGTCCACTCGTCTATTGAAGTTAACGTGAATCTCTCAGCAAATTGTCAGTGTCGGAAGAAAAGAGATAAAAGTTAACTACCACTATCAGCAAATCCAAAAATGTCAACAGATGTACAGCCAATAAGTTGATGTATTAATTATGTGGACACAATGACGGCTTATGCACACAGAAAATGAGCTCCAATGTGAATGGAAGTATTTTGAAGTGTAAACAGATAATTTGATCGTGCATCTCAAGAACCATTATCCCCAAAAGTTTCTGCAGCTTCTACTTCAACCATTCAGCAAAGTTAAAAAACAGAACCGACCACCCAAAGAAGCTTTACAAGAAAAAAAAATTAGATTTTTTACCGTCACAGGCCTGCCTCAAGCATGATGTACTTAATGTTGAATTATTGTTGACCAAATCGAGTTTGAGATATAAGCGTTAAGCTAGCTTTCTTGGAGGACAGGCCAGCATTAGTTAGTTTTAGTTAGGTTGAAGCTCACGTGAAAAATGCTTGCCCCACATTAGCTTTCCTCCCACTCCCTTTCCATCTACGTCCTTCCATCTTCAGTCTGTTTTCTGGAAGCATCCATCTTTTCACTGTGTCTGCTTCTCTTATTGTTCCTGCCTCTACTCTTAAAGGTTTTTATGGTTTGATAAAAAAAGAATCTGGATTTCTGGTTCTTGAAGAGTTGAATTTGCTGCATCTTAAATGTGTCTGACTCTGATCGCATTTTGCCTTGGTATATTTACACTATTGATTATGAAACTGTATGATTTTTAGGATCAATCAAGTCATTTGTTTGGTCCCAAAGTGTATTAGCATGGAGCATGACAATGATTCACAGAGGCTACAGTGATGGTTTGATTCTCTCCCAGGGAAGAAGGAAAGCTGTCTAAACTACAATGACTTTAAAATGTGATACAAAGACGAGCAGGAGATTACCGCCCCTTTCCTCCTTAAATCTTCTCTTTGGCATCCTAAATGCATTTTTTTGCTGTTATGCTACTGGCTTGATCCAAGACAAGAGAGTTAATGCAAATTTATAGCTCTCATCTCCCTGTGCATGAAGTCTCTTCCCCCTCAAGTCAGAGTTAGGAGAGGAGTTTGCAGCCTTGCTCTGAACTGAGATGCAGCACAGCTCCACATATGATGGTGCAGCAGAGTTTTGACGCTGTAATCTCCGGTCAGAATACGACTAAGATTAAGCATGTGAATGCATTAAATTTACAGGGACAGTATGTCTTTTAATCACCCCTGTCTCCTACAAAATACTGTATCCTTACCTCTTAGTTTTTTAAACATGTTGTATGAAATGTAACTGCTGCCTGAAATATCAAGGAAATTGTTTTTCTACTACAGGACGTGTGATTCCCTGATACCATACTGGAGCCATAGATGTGACAAGTTTTTGTCTTATATCCCAGTATAATTGTATTCAACCGGTCTGAGGTATATTCAGGCGTGAGGCAGAATTACATTTCCATATAAATACATTTTCATAAGAACATTATTTTTAAGAGACAGGGTTGCTTTGAAAACATCGAGGTCAATACTGCATAATGTTCTGCAAAAGCAACTTAGACTTTGATCTACAAGCATCTTTGACAGTAAAGTAAATGCAGCTGTTTTTAAAGGAAAGGTTTGGATTTTTTTAATTCTTCACAGACAAAGAAAGGCCTTCTCAAGGTTTAGAGAAAGCAACAGAAAACGTGGTGACGACATCACTTTGGGCTGGAGGTACAACAGATCACAAACCTGAAGGTTTGGTTCACAGATTCAGAGTCAGGTTTTGGGTCACAATATGTCTATATGTATCTCAGTTTCTGCTAAGATAAAGTAATTCTACAAGATCTATCTTGATATTATTTTTTTATTAAACGTTCTAGAAATTTAGCATGTAACAAAACAGGCGGTTTCCAACAGGTGCCCGAGATTAGCCTGGCTGGGCCATCCAGTTGCGTGAATCACTTGCCGTTCCTTCCCACAACAGTCTGGACTTCGGCCCATTGGGAGCGTGTATTAGTGATCAGAAAATAACCGGGCCAATCAGAGACTGTGTTTCCACTGTTCCCCGGACAACAGGGAAAGGCAGCCCCTGATTGGTCCATTTGTAGATGGTGACGTCTAACACATGCTGCGGGACTTTTCAAAGTGCCGTTCATTCAGAACGCTGTTAATTCTGCAGTTGACTTTGCAAAGTCGGCAGAAATCGTTTATATCTGCAGAAGACGTCGGATATAAACGATTGGAAACACAGTCACAGGCCCGGTTATTTTCTGATCGCTAATACACGTTCTAGAAATTTAGCATGTAACAAAACAGGCGGTTTCCAACAGGTGCCCGAGATATCTTCTGTGGCGTTCAGTGAGCAGGACATCAGCGCAGATGTCTTCTCTGGAATCCAAAACTGAGTCAAGGACAAGAACAAAAAAAAGATGTTGCAATGAAATAAAGTGACCAAGAAACAAGCAAGAGGGGAGCAAAACCCACTCTGGATTTTAAGGCTTTGGAAAGAGAGCTAATGTAAGTCGGAAGAGGTGCCAAAGATACAGAAGTACAAATTCCCATTTCATGCTGCCCAAATACCAACAACAACAAAATACTATCAGCTTCAATTTAGCTAACCCAGCACTTTGACCAAATCTAAGAGTTTAGGAATCGACAAGGACAGTGGATGTTGTCCCTGTAATGTTTGAGCTGTTGGCATTTGAGATGTAGGAGGTGAACAGTTCAGCTGTGTAGAACTGAAAACATTCAAACCGATCCTTTAAATAAACACTGGAAAAGAAATGAACTTCAGATAAAGAAATAGTCTAAAAAGGTGTTTATCAAGTTCATAATGGAGAAGTAACACCATTTCTTTACCTGCAATGCTCTTAATCTTTCCCTTCCTTGTGCCTGACTAACTCGTGCCAATGGGGAGATGATGTTCCTGACCTCCAGCGAACACAATCTGACAACATCCCAGTTATGGCGTCTGATTCTCTGGCTGTTTTTTTACCTTTACAGCAGCGATGAGGACAACAAGCCTCTGCAGGGCAGCCAGACGTCGCTGGACGGCAACGTGAAGGAAAGCGACGACAGTCTGGTGGACTACGGCGAAGGCGGAGACGGTCAGTTCAACGAGGACGGCTCTTTTATCGGCCAGTACACGGTGAAGAAAGACAAAGACGAGACGGAGGGCAACGAGAGCTCTGAGGCCACCTCACCCGTCAACGCCATCTACTCATTGGCGTAGCGCTGTAGCAGCATGTGGGGGGACTCGATGACACCTGCTACGACAAACCTTGACACCACACACCTGACACAAACACACACACACACACACACCCATGAATATATTAATATATGAAACACATTTAACACAGAATAGACGCAGCAGGACCCGTCTGGAGACTGAGTTGGTTTTCCTCTGCTTATAAAGTTACAGGGGATCGTCATAAGAGTGGGATTAGACCACAAGCCTTTGTTTTAAGTTTCCAGCTGGAAGAAATTGGCTCTTCGGAGGTGGCGTTTTGGACAAAGTGGACAGTGCTGGTTGTCCTCTGTGCTCTGCCTGCCCTTTACCCACACAGACTTGCAGTGTGCCTTCGGGGCAGCTCTCAGCACTTGGAGGCCTCAACAAGCGTCCTTTAGAGATTTTTCTTTGGTTTGTTTCTGCTCCAAACATCTTCAGCTTCTGTGCTCTCCTTCCTGATGCACCCCCTTCAAAACCTCTGTGTAGCATCCCGGTTGAGTAGGCACATGAGGTCCCCTACACACACACTCACGCTGTCCCCCCGTCCTGTAACATATCAGCTTCTAATCATCAAACTCCACAGGATGCCGGCAGATATGTTTATCATATTGATATTTACGCAGTGAAAGATTTTAGTTTTTCCACAGCTGGTAGACGAGTCATTGAATCTTAATGAGTGCTGTATTCAGTCCTGGCACATGTTTTAGTGCCAAGCAAAACTATGCACCATCACCTCCTCAACATCAGCTTTTGCTTTGAATCTGGTTAGTAAAAGTACATCCTTTTTTTGGGGTTTCTTTTTAACACCTGCAGGCCAAATCACGTGCTTTCATTCACTTTGCCTTGTACAATGTTTTTCTTACCTCTAATCAAACGGTGTAGAGCAGATGTTCAAACTGAAGCTATTTCCAGCACGAGCAGCAAGCCCTTTTACTGCGTGTTGTTGATGAATCCCATTAATTAAAAGATGATAATTCCTTTGAAGCATGATAGCAACTTAGTGCAAGAACAATGGGAGGCAAAAGAGGGTGAAGGTAGTTTTGTTTGAGGAAAACAGTAGATACAACCTGGCGAATTCCCTAGTTAGCATGCAGGCTAATGCTGCATTCATGTCAAATGGGAACAAGTTTTTTTAGGAGCTATAAAGCTTCAGTGTTTTTTTTTTTCTGTTGAACTAAGTTTCTTATTTGTTACACATATAAATAAGTGAGCAATACTTCTAGGGGTTTGTGTCGTACCCAAACCAAACACTGAAAAATCAAACCCACATTGTGACTAGAAAACCACTCATTATGATGGGAGATGGGGATTGAAAACATGGTGTGAATACTCCTCTAACACATTTATTTTTGTGACAACAGAAAAGTTTCCACAATTTCCCCGATGAGCTTATATCGCATGTGTGCTGAGATTGATTTTGGTTTCAAGCTGTTAGCGAACGTCTCTCCTCTCTTCTGAAGAGCATGAATGCAGCATGAGAGGTTCAGATCCTCAGGGTGTGTTCAGACTAAAACACAGCCTTGGGTTTGTTGTACAAATAAGATCTCATCTTTAAATAAGAACACTGTGGTGTACCACACATCGGTGCACATACATGTGCTTATGAAGAACTCTGAAGAATTTGTGGTTTGCGTCAACTTTGGCACCTCCTGTAGACAATGTCTTATCTTTTACCATGTATGTGGAATATTTGTGTTTTCAAACATAACCTTATACTACTGTCTCTCAACAGAAAAATACATCACTCAGTGAGTATTTGCTATAGAAAAAGTAAAGAGAGGCTGTTCTTTCAATCACCTAACTCCTCACAGAAGTTTCAGACATTAAGAATAACAAAAGAGAAACTATCAGCCTTGTTGCTGGTGGTGTTTTGTGCTTTCAAAGATCATAAAAGGCTTCAGTTTTAGTTTCAGTCTATTTCTTAATCAGTTAAAAACTCTGACAGAGTCTTCAAAGCTTCTGTGATATACCAAAAACAAACAAGACCATCGCAGACAAGACCGCAGATTTTTGAAAATGTAATTTTTAATACTTGAAAAAAGTGCAAAGGCGTAGGTGAAAGCAGAGCAGCTGAAGTAACGGCCCTGATTTTACAATTCCTACATTGAAATGTTCACAGTAGACGATACAGTTGACCTTTAAAAGTCGGCATTAGGAGAATTTGTCAAAAGAAGACTGCTCAGTCCACAGGGGGGCGCCAAAACTGACACAAACTGAAAGCACCTCACAGGACTCCACTCTGGACCCACCAAGAAGAGCTGCCTGTTGTCTTGGGCCAAAATTGGCAAAGATGAGTCCAGCTTGAACTGGATCAATCTTGTTAGATCTCTAAATTTAAAAAGACAATTTACAGACATTTGATGTTTGTACTTTCCAGATCTTTCTGTTACTCCTCTTATTCTTCATAAATAAGTCAAAAGAAGTTGACTGAGTTTAAAACAGTCACTTTTTTTTGTTGATGCATTTTTTCTACTATTAATAACAATCACAGCCCCTCTTAAAATACCTCTCTTTAGTCTGAACACACACTCAAGGATCTCCTCTTTCCTTCCCTTTGATTTTTATAAACTCAATCAAATTTGAAAAAAAAAACAACAACACATTTATGTAGAATTAAATTTCTGAAAAGATTCACAGCATGATACACACGGAAGTATCACAGACACCTTTAAACGCGAGCTTCTCAGCTTACTTTGTAGTTTTGGCAGAAGAAAGAAGAAAAAGTTTGAGTGAAGAACAAGTTTTTAGAAGTTCGCACGCTCAGTATTTCACTGTTCCAGCGTTCATATTGTCACGTAGTCGTTCTGTTAGCAGACAGTCATTTGTTTGGATTGTTTTATTTTTTACTGAACGTTCACCGAGTGCTCAAAGGTTTAAACTCATTATTTTAGCACTCCAACTGTTACTCAACAGCACTATTAAACCCTCAATCAAAATAGATTTTTACTGCAGTTAGCAACTGGAGTTCACATTGTATTTTAAATATTTATTTTATATTTCTATTTATGACATAATGTGGATAGTATTAATATATAAGTCCTTAATTTAATAATTGTTATATACACCTTTTTGACTCTTGTTGTTTCACACCAGAAATCAAAGACGTCTCCAGAACCAGTCGTTGCTCATCATGAGAAACATTAAACTCTACGTATGTTCCAGATATTTTTGTAGCAGCTGGCTCTTTTGCTGTCAACAAAAACAACAGAATAATAGTTTCACTGTCCTTCTACTCGATGATGTTTATCCATTCATTGTGCTGCTCTTCTCGTACTCATGATGTATTACCGTTAAAGAAATCGGTGTTGTTTTTCAGATTTATGTAACATAACTTTTCCACCACACAGAAAATGGATATTGTTCTTTATGATTTATTTGACTTGAGTTCTGTACATGTCAGTCCAGAGAAAAAAATCTCGTATCATTGTAAATATTGAAAAGTTGAATCCCCAAAAATGCTTTATTTGAAAAAGGGAAGATAAAGTCACGTTGTGTGTCCACCCAGCAGTGCGACGGTGCATCTTAAACTCTGTCCTGCACCTTTGTAATGTAGCTTTGACTAACATTTGCACTCTGAAAAGAAACACGAATCATCCCTCACTCTATGTCGCCCTTTGCTTTGACTTTGTTGAATATGACTTCGGCACGTCTATCGGTCACTTGTTTGACAATGGTTTGGATTCTATATTGTGAAGGAGGAACGTGTTAAATTCTCTATGATGTAAATAAGATATAAGTGCTCCTGCAGGTGTAGCATTGTCGCACTCAAGCTGCTAGTAGGCCTAAAAACAAGCATTTTCTGACATATTTGAACCAATGTCCCTCCTTTAAAGTGTCATCTCTTTAGGACTGCATACACTCCTCTTTTCCCTTTACGCCTCTAACCCATCATGCCTGGTGTGCTGTGGCTTGGTCTGTTCCATTTCAGGGGTCATCTTCCAAAAATAAATATCTAAATTTCCACTTTACGTCAATTTCCTCATGCGCACACGGTCACAGGTGATAATGTTTGTTGACGGTGCACAGGGAAGCTCCTCTTTAATCGCAGGTATCAAACCTTGGACCATATTTTACCCGTAATGAAACCTGAATTGACTAAATCAATGACATGCTTTATTGAGATAGATATTGTGACCATAACCTCATTAGAAAATGTTAACCAAAGTAGGAAACGTGTGTCTCAGTGATGTCCCTTGTTGGTTTCTGTAGAGGCCGTCTCTTCATTAAAAGTGCAGACTCAGCTGAACTTGCCCTCAATTTAAAAACAGGCAAAGAGGTGAAGTTTAGGCGTGAAATCATCCCCCTAACTTACCGATCAGTAAATCCATCCACGCCCCTTTTTTCACGACAAACTGAATATAAACTCTCAGCGTTTATTCAAGCATTTATTGAATTGGACATAATGGGATTTCCTTCACTTTTGGGGCCAACCTCTAGTCACCTGAAAGCTCTTGTAGGGGATGAAGAGCTGCAGTTTTTGTCTCATTGTCTCACAATTTAATGACAAACCTTATCAATCTGTCGTGACCTTTGCAGACTTTGGAATGACCCCTGAGATATACAAAATCACAGCATACGTACGGCTAAAATGCAGCAACATTTAAAACAGGTCTAATTCAAAGATCATCCTCTAAAATCCCAACCTCTTCTCCTCTAATGCCATCTTCCTCTGTCTAATCAGCTGGGTGTTTCCTCTGATGCCGTTGTTTTTCCGTGTGTTCACTCTGTGTCACCTCATCACAAACAGAAGATCGGTGCTGAAATCAAGAAATCAGGAGAGGACATCCACTGACAGATCAAACGTCGGTTCAGGATGTCGGCCTGGACTCTCTCACAGGACTCACTAAAGGTTTTTTCTTCATGATCTGGAAACCTGCACCCCGCTCTTCCCACATGGCCTTTCTCTTTCTCCTCTGAGTGGATCACAGTGGGAGGGGGGGATACTGTAAACTGGCTATATAACAAAGAAAAGAGAATTATGCATATTTGCTGATACTCAGTGCTTTTTTTGTTTTCTCTCGTCCTTTTCTTTGTGCACGATCATTCGCGGTGCACATGGAGCTGACTGTCTCTTTTTACTGTCTGCATCACCTCAGCTCACCTTTCATGGAGGAAAAGAAAATGTCAATGTGCAGTTTTACAGCTTTGTGTGTCTCTCAGTTCAAACGCTGCAATGTCTGGAGTTTTACCGGTGCACAGACGAGATTTGCGACTGGATTTTTTAAAATGATTGGTCACATGCTGTTTGGCTTTTTGTATGACTTCTCATATTTAGCATCTTCTTGTTTTTACCATGTGTATCAGAGCAGCTCGTCAAAGTCTCGCTTCGACACGCAGAATAACAGCTTTTGTAAGGTACATACTCAACAGAAAATGGCATAAATATATTCACCATGTATGCGTGTATGATGAGATGTTGCAACTTCTGCTAGCGGCGCCTTCTTTATAGTAAAGCTATCTCCTTTTCTCTACCTCCTCTCGGCTGGTGTCTCTGTTCCTCTGAGTTTTACAGTTTTTATTGCAAAGACTAAACAAAGAAATATGTGGAGAAAACATGCAGTGGTTTTCAACATTCTATAGTCTATTTACACAATTTCAGATATTTCTCTTTTTTGCTGTTCTGTTTTTTTGCTGATCACTGAGTAGTGTTCAATATTTGATTCTGATTTTTAAGAATACGAAGACACATCATTCCTGAACTTGCTCATCAATCCGATTCTTCCTCATCAAGGCTCTGAAGCACTCTAAAGTCTCCATTCTTGTCATCGAGTCTCGAGTTTTGAGTAAAGTTATAGCAAGATTTTAGCTTCACAGAGCTTAAAATAAACAAACAAACAATAGAACAGGAGAAAAAGTGGGAAAATATAGCAAATAGTGAAACATACCACCCTTTGTAAAAAGCATGTAGTCAATTTGACTGCTCTGGGACTGGTGATTTCCTTTATATTTTAAGCTATTCTGCTCAGCTGGGTCTGGGTGAAGATTGTACACAGGTGTCTTCAATGGTTCCTAGTTCCTGCAGTGTAAAAGCACCTGCAGGCTGCGTGTGCTTTTATACTGCATATTATTGACTTGGAGTTTTGCTCCTTTTGCAGTTTTAGCTGCAAACAGCTTCCAGGTGCTCTGCTGCCATCTTCTGGAAAGAAATAGACACTCTCCTACTCATGCCCGTGCTAAATAAAAACCTGAAATAGCTTCATGTCTTGAGACTGTCCTGAACTCCTCAGGAACATCTTCCTCCCTCATCACCTACCTCTATACTAGCGTGGAAAATATTATTTCTAATCCTGTTTTTGGCATCATTTAACACAAAAGTATAAACGTTGACTGCCTTAGAGATGTGATCTAGTCTTCACAAAGGAAAGTTTCCCCTTTTCCTGATTTATTAACTACTGTTAGGGTTTGTTTACATTTAAAGCTGGAAAAACAATCAGAAAAAAAAAGTTCAAATGCAAAGTGTCTATTTTGCATTAAGCTCATCTTTAACATGGATTTGACCAGCAGCCGGAGACCTCTGCAGAAATGTCTCCATTTCTCCTGCAGATGGCGCTCTGCTCATGTCTATCTGACATCAGATTTAAGTACTTACACTTACAGAAGCTGTTTGCTCACCTGCATATCTGCCTGATGGTACAGAGACGATCCTCCACATCTCTGCACCATCACGCTCATATCTTATTTGCACCAGGCTGCAGCAACTATACAGAGAAGTTTTGGTGTGAGGGGGAAAGAATGATCAGACCTTGATGGAGGACTGAAGGAGAGCAACAAAAACAAACTTTTATGACACTGTAAGCATCAGGTAACACCAAACATGAAAACGGTTGTGAGGAACAGTGGATTTTTGAAGACTGCCCAGATCCAGTCCCTCAAAAACAAATTTAATCCGTGAGAATTTTCAGTATGTGTAGCTTTAAAAGAAATAGCTTTATTTTGTCATCATCAGAGGCTGTAATCAGCTGACATGTAAACAAACAGTCTGCTCTTATAGAAACAGTAAAGATAGAAGAGTTTGAGTGAATTCATCATTTACACCAGAAAGGAATCCTTCAGTAAAAATAAACAATCCAAGCACAGAATGTTTACTCTCTTAAATATATATAATTATTTACATGCTCATACATTCATACAGACATGTGCATACTTTGCATAGGCATGCAGACATACCCTAACTTAATATTTATGCACATGTGAACCATGTATGTATGTTTGTGCAAATTAGGTATGCATGTATGGGCAAGCAGAGTACTGTAAGCATGTATGTTTGAACTAGGTGTGCATATACTGGATATGCAAACATGGGTAAAGCCAGACTTTTAGACTGGAGTTGCAAACTAGAGTACAGCTTTAGTCAGGGTAGCCTGGTGCAGTAAACAGTTATCTCCACTTATCACATCCAGCATAGAAGAATCTACAAAATGTGAAATTTTTGCATTTGCTTTCTGACTTAAAGGTAACTCAGAGTAGCAACACTTAAATCTGCAGGACTTGATTCGTTGAGGACAAAATAAAGATGATGTTTGCTCCAATTTACAGAACCAACAAAAGGAAATATTCTACACGGAAACACAGAGAATCTTCTGGCAGCCTGTTGAAACGTAGCCTGGCTGGGCCATCCTGTTGCGTGAATCACTTGCAGTTCCGTTCCCCGGACAACAGGGAAAGGCTGCCCCTGATAGGTCCAGGTGTCGATGGTGACGTCTAACACATGCTGCAGGACTTTTCAAAGGGGCTTTAACGGCGTTCTGAATGAACGGCACGTTGAAAAGTCCAGCAGCATGTGTTAGACGTCACCATCTACACATGGACCAATCAGGGGCTGCCTTTCCCTGTTGTCCGGGGAACAGTGGAAACACAGTCACTTATTGGCCCGGTTATTTTCTGATTTGTAATACGCACTCCCAATTGGCTGAAGTCCAGACTGTTGTGGGAAGGAACGGCAAGTGATTCACTAGGCTAGCTGAAACACACTTGGATTTAAGATTCGGAAAATCTGGGATTTCCGCGTGGCACATGATTGAGGCCAAATACAAACCTGGACATATGTGTGTGACTTAAGTATGTTAAAGTCACTGTACTTTGACAGGAAGATGGGAGTCAGAACCTGTAGCCCTAACAGCTACTACTTGTAAGTCTCATCTAGCTTGCTCAACGGTTCTTGTCTGCAGACACCGCAGGAGAGCGCGCCCAGTCTCACCTTCATCAACGCCTGTGCAGCTGAAACTTGGACTCTGCTTTAATCTCTGCTGTTATTTGGAAATCAGGTAATGTCATCCACAAAAGTTGTTTCTTCTCACAAACTTTTACAGTAAAATGTCGACAGACCTTGAGAGTTTGAGATTTTAGCGCTCTGCATGTGCACAGTTTAAACTCTGTAGGCATGCTCAGTCAGGAGTTAACCTCTCAGATCTTCCTCTTTAATTGAAGGGATATTCTGGCTAAAATTTAAGCAGCAGTCTACGTCTCCATGCAAAAACAACTCGGTGATCGACTCGTCAGGGCTCCCCCACAAACAAGCAACCGCTGGAGGAGAGTTGGTGAGTTGTGTTTAGTCTCTTTGCTTAAGAAACCAGGCAAATGCTATGGCTGGGCCCTATATGTACTGTTGATGAAGTTAGGTGCTGTTCTGAGCATTATTTGTGGCTATAGAGTGGCTTTTTGGTTGAGGTTTGCAAGTAGAGATGTAGACCGCTGTGTATTGCTATTGTGCGGTCTTTGCTGAGTTTGGTATAACTAGAGAAGTCAGCAGTTGGCAACATTCATCTCTAACTCGGTGTAACGGTGTGTTTGACCATAACTTAAATTTATACCGAAATATCCTTTTAAGTATTTTAGTAACAGCACATTGAAGTCCTCAATCTTATATGTTAATCATCAAAATGACAGACACTGTCCAAAAGATCAGGGAAAGCCAGTCTTCTGGGAGACAGGGCCACTGATATCACCAACAGGAGCTTCATCAGGGGGTGAATTGATGACGCAGTCGTCCAGTGGTCTCTCTCAGTAAATACAGATGTAAAAGTTTGACAACAGTAAACCTCATTTTTTAAACTCATAGTTTACTTAAGCTGATAATTAACTCTTAATCAACAGCCCGGGCATTAACCTTTCTTACTTCTAACCCCTGGAGAGTCACTAAATATCAGCGTGTAACAACAGATCTGCAGTCTCTCCCTCACACTCTGGACCTGAACACATGAAACCAGATGTAAACCTGCGTAACTCTACCCTGAAGTTTGCCAGAACAGATCCATCATCATTTGCGCCCCGCTGAGCGCTGTTTGTCCCAGCAGCTCTCCGCCCGCTAAAGGTCAGAGCACAAGAGACTGTTTAGAGGCTCTGAGCCGAGCATGAAAGGACGGCCTTGACGGCTTCGGCGGCAGCAGAGCGAGAGGCTGAGAGGAAATGAGCGTGAAATGAATGTCACATTGAAATCAAAGGAAGGGAAGATAAATGAGAGAGGCGGTTGGAAATCACCTGGACCGGAGGGCGAGAGAGACAGGGAGAGAGAGGGCGATGGGTGGATGGACGGATGGATGGAGGGAGGAGTAATTATTAGTGATTGAGCTGCTTCCCCCTCATGTGTTTCATTAGGAGTGGGCTGTACACACACAATCTCTTCTCTGTTGGGCCGTGCCAGAGCCCGGTGACTCCGGTTTATTTGACCATCTGAAATCTTAACAGTTAATACCTGTATATTTCCAGCATAATATTGTCTCTGGCACAGATTGCCAGAAAATGTATCCCAGAAAAAATAAACGGGTGCTTTTGCATGCCAGGTAACACAAGGGCCATGTGCTGAGGCCAAGAGGGGGCAAGGCGGGAGAAGGAGGAGGAGGAGGGGGAGACAGGTGAGAAGAAGAAGAAGAAGAAGACGATGCAGGAGGAAGAACAAAAGTTTTTTAGTGAATGAATGTTGCTCCTTTAAAGCAAAAAAAAAAATCAACCTTTACTTTTGTACATGCTAAGGAGTCTTGAATGTGATTTAAAATAACCACCTAAATAACAAAGTCAGGAACAGGTAGAGTTGTTGCTCTGGCTCTTGTCAGCCTCAGTACAGTTTATGTGTGTGTTTTAAGCTTTATTTACTCTGCAGATCCAGAGCCACTCACTTAAGTGGAGTTCAGAGAGGAAGCATTAGTGAGTCTGTCCACAGCATCCATATTGGAGAAGTTCTGACAAAAGAAAAACAATCACTCTTAACACACCTCACACCACAGGATGATCTAGAAAGGTAATCTTTGGAGTCATCAGATAATCTGGCCTTCACTGGTTTTTGTTGGAAAAAGAGAATCAGGTCAGAAATCAGCCTGATAATCTTGTAGTGTTTGCCCAGTTTATAGAAAATAAACAGAAATCCTGCAGGAATTAAGCATCTTATA